AAAAAGAACCAGGTCCGTCTATATCAAGGAACGACAGTAAGGGAAAAAAGGAAAGGGAGCAAGCTTAATAGATAAGGGAGAGCTCCGAACACTGGACGGATTATATAAAAACGAGTGTGTGCGTGCGTGGGAGCAGTAGGCGGAGGGAGGGAGAAGAAGAATGAACGAATGAACGAATCGAACAAATCCAAGATCAGTGAGTGAGTGAGGGGAGAGGATCCAGGAGAATTCCATTTGGGCAAGGCTGACCCGGACCGAGCCTTTTTTTTCAACTTCCAAGACATACATTTCCTCCCATCAAACTCTTGGGAAGCGGGAAGGGGGGTGAAAGGGAAGGGTCCTCTCGTGCTTGGGTGCTTGTTTGGGAAAGCCCCCCCCCATGTATGTTGATGCTACTAACTCGCCCACCACCACCCACTGCAACAATCCCCGACCAATCGGCCGGACCCCCCTGACTGCGGCCGCCATTGGCACAACTGACATCTGGATACATGTAGGTATGGCGATTTATGTCTCTGTGTCGATAGGGCCGGGGCAAGTACGTAAGTGATGGGATTGACCTCTCTCTTTGACTCTCCTCTATGGCTTTTTGTGCTTCTTCTGCTTGCTTTCCCCTCTTTTCCCAGCTAATACTACTTTTTACCTGGGTTTGCATGGTTGTACGAATGTTCCAGGTGGGTGACTGCAATCAAGTGCTGTTTATGTAAGTTACGAGGTCAAGAGTTATGTAGCAGAAGTGCAATTTAAACTCTACCTATCACGGTTTTTTATGCGCGGATGTGTAAGAAAAGGAGCCGCTACGGGGAAGTCCCTTTGGGTAATGATCTCCGCATTCTGTTCTCTGGAACTTGTGTCTCGTGCTTCTTGTGCTTCTGCAGCAGCACTTGAATTCCTCCATACTACAACCTCCTACATACACGCAACTAACATGCCCTATCCAAAGCGGCGTTAGGCTATGCTATCAAAAGCAGAGTTAGAGTTAGAATATCTCTCGCATGAAACCTCCATGAGCCGCGTGGCATTCCAGGACTTCAAACATGTCGTTCAATCCTCACGATATTGCAGTTAGCACTCTATCTACTCTGTAAAGAGAGAGAGTACGCATCGCAGAGTACGTCGCCTGCTCCCCAATCCAATATAATCCCCAGTCTACACAGAGCTACCCCGGGACAATTATTCCTTTTTTCTTTTCCCTTTCCACAATCAATTCGGACCTCATCCGCCCGGGCGAGCCTTCCCCCCCGCCAGGTAACACCACGTCCACAATATTTCAATCTACATCTCTTGGCAGCGGGGAAGGGCTGCGTAAGCCCCACGCCTCTCCCTTCTCCTTCACCCAGAGAAGAAAAAAAAAGAGTGGATGTGGATATTGTGCAAACAAGCGGTGACGAAATCTACCGCGAAAAAGCCGTTGGCCCAGAAGGGATCCTTGAAACTCGCCCCTGACATCGTTGATGTCAAATGCCTCGCTCGTCCATCCGTCCTCAGGTCGATCAGATATTATATTATTAGTCCCCGTATAGTAGAGTGCAGGAGAGGGTCCGCGCAAGAAATTGGGTAGCATGCTCAGCTTGGAGAGAGAGAGCTTGGTATGGTATGTTGTCAACTCAACAACTTTGGAGCAGGTATGTAGAAACAGGGTTTTGGTGATGTTTTCAAAAGGGTACGTCGGGAGGGGCGTTTTAAAATAGGAATTCGCAATGTCATTGTCGACGGCATGCAAGCTTCGACTTCAACAATTGCTCGCGTGCCGTGTTATCCGGAACGAACGAACGCGTGTGTTACTGCAAATCATCAAATCAACCTCATACGCAGCCCAGATTTTAGGTTAAAGACCCGCGGATTGAGGGTGAATATGCACTGAGGTGTAGAGCTATCATCAACAGGTTTCGCGAGCATGAATTTTTTTCTTGGCTAATTTGATGCCATGGGGGGTGGTTGGGATAAAGTAAAGTAATAACACTCAATAGGTAGTTGCTAGTGATCCTGGTCTGCATATATAAATGGAGTAATTAGGCATGCTTTGCTTGGCATTAAAGGTATTGTGATTAGAGCTCTGTTTATAAGTAGATGTGTTGTCGGTGTCTAAGGTAAAGAGCTTCTGAGTCTTGATGAATACTATCACATCGGGCAAACCTCACCTCCTGCTCCTGGTTCTGTGGATATTGTTGTTTACTAATCCCATAGCACTCTCTCCCAGCCTGCTGATATTTTGATACGAGTACCAACATACATGTAGCCAAGGTAGAGTGAGTACCTACAGGAATCTGTTGATCGATCAATTGCAAGCCTTTCTCCCTCAGCTCGCTTCTCTAAACTTCTGATTGCTTCCCGGAAACTTTCTTAGCCGCTGCCGCATGTATGTATAGGGGAGGAAACCCCATTCGTCTCAATGGGATTACATAGATCATGATCACTCCACAGACATGCTACTTTATCTCTACCCACGCGCCAATACATACGTACCTGTGAGGAGTTGTATTTTTGTTTATCCATAATGTATATAATACCATGGTCCGTCTATAAGACCGGGGGGTAGGGGGTATTATAGGTACATGTGCTTCTATTGCAACCGCCTGGTTTAGGAGGGTAGGTGCGAGTTTGCACAAGCGCATGGCACCATCATGATCATGATACACCATGTGTTAGACGCAAAGACGTGTAAGTGTAAGTACCTAGGCAGAGTACATGTGCCCACCAGCCAGATCAATTGATACTCTGGATCTGCGAAGTGAAACAAGTATCAGATCAATCAAGCTCCCGAAAAATTACCACACACATGCGTATCTCGGGGAATAGCATAAAACTGTGTGTGGAGGAGATCTCGAAATCACTAATCAGGCGATGACAGGTTGTGCCTTTGCGGCCTATCTGTTTTGGGTTTTGGGGCCTTGGGACGTTGGACTTGCCTTTCTGGAGCTCGAGTTCTTGGCAGTTGGGTTATGAAACGCTCATGCTAAACGCCGAACATCACATAAATGGAGCGCGAGATGCTAATTGTTTATAGGCCTATTACATCGTCGACGTTGGGAACATTAGAATGCGCCTTTTTCTTAAAATTCTAGGCAGAAATACCTGATTGATCACTAATCTAAATTAAAATCAGCGGCTGGCGAAAATGTGTCAATCACAAACCATCGGTTGTAAGTATGATGTAGTTTTATCATTGACCTTCAACTATTGCCTACACTTTCTCAGCCACTGCGTATCCGTAAATATGATCTGCAGCTAAGCCCTTGATCTGCGAGGCAAAGTGCTTCGCCACCTTGCAGCAGCATCACGAGGTTTTTGCAGCCCGAGGCTTAGTAATGGGGAGGCAATGATAGTATCGACGGATATCTGAAAGAGTCCAGGATGATTGATAATAGTGACGGGGACTATATGAACGGTTAAATTTTGGCTCTCTTTGGTGTAGGATACTTCGAATATGTAGAGGCTCGTTCAATCCGTAGTATAAGGACGAGGAAGCAAATGCGGGGGACTAGATGTCTCTATGGGGCGCAGCTTCATTAGCTTCCGGCCTTGATTTACCTCCTGACTTGCGTATCCATGATAAGGCCTGGGTGCTTTATTATTGATCGCCAGTGCCACAGTAGGGATTGGTATTCATGGTTCGTGCTAAAGGGAGAGCCGTATGTGGCTGTGTAGCCCATCGTTGCATCTGCGCAGCTGTCGTTTAGGACCTTGAAAGTGGTGCGACGGTGACATTGTAAACATTTTGTTTTTGATTTGAGGCAAAACTCTCATACTCGATACCAGGTGAAGTTGTCCTCAGGAAATTCTCGTATTAGTCACAAACTATCACTCGGTTATTACTGTCCGTAATCTCGACACCCATATCTCAAAGATTTCACTTAAACAGGACGTGAAAGCCTTCTCATAAGAGCTAAAGAAGCTCAAAGTAGCATGTACTGATCCCCTTTCTGCCATGTGGCCGACGTTCAAAGGCGAGGATCAGGCAAGGAAGAGTTGGTGGTAGATCAGGATTTCGCCAACCATCGGTTGGGACAGGAAAAGAGGAGCAATCCTCTTCCTAAGGGGGCTCATCCCAGCGGATGTCTTTCTGTAGCTTTCTCTATCTCTCTTGTCCTCGGGGAATAAACTGCCAGTAAGGAATTTGCTCCACTTGTGATAGTTATATCCTCCCGTCTATCTGAGAACTCTGGGAAGATATAAGATAGATGTCCTTCTTTTCGGATGAAGATCTAAGTTAGAATAACACCCAAGAATAGAGAGAACTCTTGCTTCTTCTGTGACATTAGAGAGCGAACAAGCGATGCGGTTGTTCCCAGGCTCCATGTAGAGTAGAGAGCTATCTAATCAACTTGATAGGGTATAAATTGAGACGGTAGAATCGCGTCTTTCGAATCCTAATCAAAGGGTATAGACCACTAACAAAGTGAAGTCAGGTAATGAATGATCTCCTCGGATGATCTGGAGGGAATCTTGCCCTCCTCAGTTCTTTGTTGATGGGCGTTCAAGCTTTATCTGGCCAGGATCAAACGTCGCAAACTTATAGGCATGTGAGTCTTAATTGCTGAGCAAGCAGAAAGGTTAAATCCCGTATGACCACTTCATCGGGCTACCCATCTATCGAAGCTCCTGGGTGGGGGATGTTACTAGTTCGGTCGAAGTAAGGATGGAGGAATTGCAGGTTAGCAGCTGTGGCACCGGGCAACGTAGAGCTGCGGTGGTTTTTTTTTTCGGGGCTGCGGGTGTTTGTTGCTTCGAGCTTGGCGAGAAGGGGGAAAGCTGAAGCCTGGTCTTTCGGTGGTGGCTCGGTCCAAGTCCTTACTGTTGCGGGTGTACCTAGAGCTGAATCCTCAAGTGAATGGGCTCGAGACGGCCTCGAAAGACACCTTAGACGCATACATATTATGTCAACCTCGAATGATATTCTGTGAAGCAGACATTAGACACCAATTGATCTCTTGCACTACAATAATTAATGTTAATAACAGAACGCCTCTTCCGATCCAAGTATTACAGGTCCTTCTCACTTAGGACCCAGCCCCCCAAACCTCCGCTTCAATCTTTCTGACAACGTTCTCGACGCCCCCATGCTCCTCATCCACCACCACTCTTATAAACCGACATCCACTCACCCCCCTCTCCTCCAATGCACCAGCCCCACCATCATCATCGCAGATGATAAATCTAACGTCCACATCCTTCGGCACCGCCTGTCTGAGCTGCTTCAGCGGGAATGTGTATTCGGGCAGTGTAAGGATTGCAATCCCCGTGTGCTCCGAGATCTTCTGACACACCTCTGCGAGCTCCTAGACAGCAATACTGATCAACGCCTGCTCAGTGCCCACTTACACTGCAAGAGGATGCATGGAGGACCATACTTTTGCTTGGTCGCTGTTCTCGTTGCATTCCCTGAGGATACTAGTGCCACCAATATAGTTTATACCTATCTCTGCTGAGAGACGCTCTGCTACCTGGGGGCTGGATTCGCCTGAGACAACGAGGATGAGCTGGCGTCTTTGGTTTGCGACTTCTTCGGCGGTGGATTTGTGACCATGACTAGTGGACATTTGATTGTGTACTTGTGAGTTCTGAAAATGGGAGAATAATGATTTTCACTAGCAGTTTGACCATAACTACATATGGTTGAGTAGGGGAATTGACGTCACGGAGCCGTCTCCTGTGTCGAAGTCCAGCCACGGTCATCGATTAGTATCAAGGGACAACCGGCCAGACAATCACGAACCTTATGAGGCAAGAACTGAAAATAAGCGAATATGTGTCTAATAAACCATCTTCCAAAGCTACTCTGGCGAAGAAACCATCGACAATAACTATCTATAAAGCGGCTAATGTATAATCATTTCTCTGGCATAGAACACTCGACCTTGATAACCAAGTTCCCTTCATCGTCCCTCTGTCTACTAGCCATACTAAATGCATTCTCAACTTGGCTCAACCCATGGAAAGTATGTGTAATGATCTTCTCAAGATTTGGGATCAACCCCTTCGATACAATCTCAATGCCGGTAGGATACGTGTTCGCGTATCTAAAGCTACCAACAATATCTACTTCACGGAGCGCAGCAGCAGATATCGGAAGGGTTTGGATGGGGACTCCCATCCCTACCAGGACGAGAGTTCCTCCTGGGCGAGTGGCCTGGAAGGGTCAGTCATGGCAGGACGAGAAAGATTTACTGGGGTATTACATAGATTCCAGTTTGGACGCAGGTCTCCATGCCAGTGCATTCGAAAGTAGCATCTACACCACTTCCCTCTCTGTCGACGGCTTTGGTGAGGATTGCAGCAGTCTCCTTTGCAACGGCAAGCTTCTCTTCAATCGTTTCTGGACGCTTTGCTGGTGGAGGTACCACGATTCTAGTTTTGATTGAGGATTCTCAGTTGAAAGCTCCAATAGTCAGGTCAAATCATCTTGGTGCAAACCCTTGAGTAGCAAAGCCTTCCTTGACAGCAAAATCAGTACGACCTTCATTAATATCCGTGATAATGATGCGTGAAGCTCCAGAAAGCTTAGCCATAGCACCGACAAGCAGGCCAACAGCTCCAGCACCGATGATAAGGACTGTAGACCCTGGTGCAAGGCTACCATTGCGAAGTGTACGTCGAGTCGAATGGATAGCAACAGAAAGGGGCTCGATCAAAGATGCCGTAGCATACGAGACATTTGGTGGTAGTCTACACTTATGCAATGAGTGACACAAATCAAGACGTGGGAGTGGGCGAGGAAGAAAGCTTCTTTCGACCCCAAAAATTACTGGCCCCCAAGGTGTCAGGACTCACTTATGGCACCATTTGGCGGGATGATTAATAGTCTCCTGCAAGGTTCCCCAAAAGTGGGGTGTCGACTTTGCACTGCTCCTAAATCTCATCCCAGCGCATATATTATATCGCCCACCCTTACAGGTATCGCAGTTCTCACATGGCAGTCCAACTTCGAGAGCGACACGGTCGCCAACACTCCAGTCAGAAGTGAGGGAATCTCCCACAGCAGTCACGATACCAGAGGCCTCATGTCCTGGAGCCATCGGTGAGTTCACTAGAATATCGCCTAAGCGATAATGGTGGTAGTAGTGAAGGTCTGACCCGCAGAGCGTCGTTGAACGAACATCGATTTGAAGGTCTGAAGGACCGGGAGGTGGGAGGGATACAGAGTCGACACGAAGATCTTTCACTCCGTGTAGGACAGAAGCTTTAACGGACTTTGAGGACATTTATTTGTTGACTTGGTAAAAATCGTGGTAGTAGTTGTAGTAGTAGTTAATTGCTGATCCGGCTACTAATATACAACATAGCGGGGTTCTAGTGAGGTGCATTCGCTACCTCGGGCCAGTCTAGGTAAGGGTCGTTGCTCGGTATTCATTCAACGAGATGACAGTCGGTGATACAAGGGTGTATGTATGATTGAGTTTGGATGACGATAAACGAGAGTGTAATTTGTTTATCAACGATCTTTAACAATCAATCTCGTATAAAAGAAATACCATGGAATACATGTACGCAAGTACTAATGACTCTACTAGAGTTGTGCTGTGCTTAACAAAGCACCGATTAAGGTAAGCTACATGTAGTATGTACATAGTACACGGCTTAAACGCTCGAAGATCATCACTTTATGAGTATCCTTAGAGAGGAATGAAGTCGATTAATGTATTCCATGAGCCTAGTAGGATGACGACCAAGCAATTACTGGAGATTTTATGTGTGCTTAACCCTAGGGCATTCTTGACAAGGATTTCCCGCTTTGGAGAGCTGAACTACAACACCAGAGCTACTACCGGTAAGTTCCGCAACAGAATTCCAATAACTTGCCTATTTTGAACAAATAATTAAAAAAAAAAAATCTAAAAACAGCACTTCAAAGGGCATTGATTCTAGTAAATTACAATGCTAAGCCGAACCCCAAATACAAAGCCAACGACCCTCTCTCAACCTTAATTGTCACCCAAAAATCGTCCGCTTTACTCCCTGTAGTAGTGTCTATTTTCAAGTCAGTAAGCTAGATATTCAGATATACTAAGGAGAAGGGGGCTGCATACGTCTCCTCAAGTGTCCTGCCCTTCATGAAATCTGGCTCTGAACCACGGACGTAGATATCCTCAAACAAAATCTTGGGTGTGTTTTCTGGGAAGGGTGCCTCCTCGGCCTCCTTAACCTCCTTGTCAACCAACTGCTTGGCCTGCTTGTCAAGAGACTTAAGGTCCTCCTCAGAGACAATGCCCCACTCAAGGATCTTCTGCTTAAGACCCTGGATGGGGTCCTGAGTTGAACGCATGCGCTGAACCTCCTCACGGGTCTACATGTTTTGTAAGCTGGGCTGTTCCAACAATTCAAGACACACAAGGGGAACATACACGGTAGGTGGTACCAGGGTCAGACATAGAGTGTCCACCGTAACGGTATGTGACGAATTCCATAACCAGTGGTCCGTTACCATTGATGGTGTACTCCTTAGCCCAGGCACTCGCCTGCTTAACGGCAAGAACGTCCATTCCGTTGACCTTCAGACCAGGGATGTACTGTCCACGCTGGTAGTACTGGGTCAAAGCAGAACTCCTGTTTGCCGCAGTTCCCATTCCGTACTTGTTGTCTGCGATTTAATGTCAGAGACTAGGCTTAAGAAACAACGATAGTAGTAGAGGACGAACTCTCGCAAGCGAAAACAACTGGAATATCCCAAAGCTTGGCCATGTTGTAAGCCTCGAAAACTTGGCCCTGGTTGGATGCACCGTCACCATAAAGGGCAAAGGTGGTGTTCTTTTGGTTCAAGTACTTCATGGCGAATCCGATACCAGCGCCTACAGGAACCTGGGCACCGACAATTCCGTTGCCACCGTAGAAACCCTTGCAGAACATGTGCATAGAGCCGCCCTTTCCGTAGGCAATTCCCTCTCGTCGTCCAAGAAGCTCTCCGATAATGCTCTTAACAGTCGCACCACGCATCAGGGCAAAACCGTGGCATCGGTAGGCAGTGATAACATGGTCCTCAGGGGTAAGGGCATGCTCCATACCGGCGGCGACGGCTTCCTGACCAGTGGACAAATGACAGAATCCACGGATCTTCTTCTCCTTGTAGAGCTTGTCGGCAGCCATCTCCATTCGTCTATAAAACCAGGTTGTTAGTAAGCTTTCTTGGTATTGCGGCGTTGCCTTCAATGTTGGACCCGGGCATCCTAGCACATGCCCCTCGTAATAAAAGATAAACCCCAACGGAAATTTACGATACTGGTGATGCCAGAATCGAAGTATACAGAGCTTATAAACTATCCACCATCGAGTAGATGGATGAACAGTATCGTTTCTCCGGGAATTCCAAGTATACAGCTCATCCACTAGCTGCGACAACAGGGACCCCAGATAACAAAAACTCCTCACTACTAGGTACCCCGCCCACCATTTCATTTTTAGAAGAAAACAATTGTACGTACCGAATAGTGACCATGTCCAAGTACATCTTCTTCAAGTCGTTCTTTGACACTTCCACCTCAGTGCTAGGTCCCTCAATCTTGTAGCTCTCGAAGCTCTCTGGGGAAAGGTTGACGGTGAATTTCTTGTCATCTTCCTATAATTCAAAAACACCAATAATTAGTCAATGAAGAAAAAAGGCATTAAGCGTCGCAATGAAAAGAAGTAAAATCCTTACAGCTGGAACAGCATTCTTATCCGCATGAGAAGAGGCGGCATCAGTGGTGACATTTCTTCTCAATGAAAATGAGTTTGCTGGGGCGTAGCAAGCCCGCAGAGGAGTGGCCAAACGGGCCGCCTTAACTGATCGTGCCAACATGATGTATGGTATTAGGGGATTGGGGGTATTTTGGGAGAATGGGATGAAAGGAACTCAACGGCGGATGAGGTGGGTTGAGGTGAAGGGTGAAAGAGGAGGAGATTGTCGCAGCGCGGATTCGGGGACGGGCTGTGGTTTCCTGCTCGAAAAATGTTGTTGGGCGGCGCTAGTCCCAGATTAGCCATATTCTCATCAGATAAGATAGGGGACCCGGTTTTCTCTCGCAACAAATCACTCGGTGAAGGTTGTGTTACGCGATTTATTCTCCGATTGTTTCTACTCTACTCCAAAACGACCGCTAGGATAATCTTGGTCTTTCGGAATTTTCGTTAGGTTCCATTTCGTGCATTAGGTAGATGTGCTCTATCCGTTACTGGCTTGGCGTCATTAACATGAAGCTTGAGAAAGTTTACGCCAAGATACCTCTAGTTTCCTCCTTGCGTTAATGAAAAGCAGATCTCCTTCCGTGTAGTGTGTAATACAAATAGTAGATGGAGTTACTACTGTTCGTGCATTGGCAGCTCAGATCATGTCGGATGGTCATTTGTGGTATATACCTTGACCTCAAACTTATTGTGGTGATGTGCTAGTGGAATGTTCTCATAGACTAACCAAATAATTTAGCTTATGTATCGTTTCCCAGCCATATTTGATCTTTCGTTTAGTAGACTCTGTGTTCCCTTCGACAGGATTGACTATTAGTCACCAACCGAGTGATATTCCATGACCGAGGTCTTTTCTGTGACCAAGCTTGAATGAAAACTTCAATTACATGCCCTTAAACGAAAGAGTTCCATCTTGAAGGGGTTCGCTTACCAGTATAGATCACGAATCTATGTATCTGGGTGTTGTGGAAATGAAACGCATCTCGCCCTAACTTTCAAGTTTCGACATTTCATCCAGAGTAGCAATCAATTATTTAAAGCGATTCATCACTGCCTCGTAGAAACTAAAGTTCTGAATAGTGAATCAAACTTTGTGTAAAGCTACTAGTAGTTAGTGGGTGTAGTTGCAAAATTTGGTGTCTTGGTTGCATTCTATCTTCAGCGGTCTTCAGCACAGCAGCCTTCAGTTTAATATTGACCCATGAGCTCCCACCCTACACCCCTTACAACCCCCTACACTCGGCCATCACTAAATCCCACACTCACTACAATTTCAACAATATAACAGCTTACTCAAAATGTCCAAATCAAACCAGTCTAAAAAATGTTCTCCTACCCTCAACAAGCTCATAACTGATGAGGGTTTTCTCATCCTTTCCAATCTCTGCAAAGACCTCGAAACGAACAGCGACGAGTTCAAGAAGGAATTCAAGCGCCTTCTCAAAGAGAAAACTTTCCTTCAAGGCGGCGGCACTCTAGCATTCGGCCTCGACTACAAGTACACTTTTGCCCAGATTGACGGCGAAATGAACTCCCTTGGCCTCGGCGGATTGCGAAACTTTCTCAAGCCAATCGACAAAATGCTCTACAATTTCATCGATTCCTGCGGTCTCCAACCTGAGTTCAAAATTGTCTACAGAATTCGGAAACATCCCAAAGTTGTTATACTATCCAGCAACATCTCTCCCTTTCCTCTCGATCTCGACGGCCCAGTTTGGAAAAATATGAATGGTCTCGATTCTCTACTTGAGGCCATCGATGGGGCAGATGTCAAACTATCTAAAGGCATCCAGATTCATGCAGGGGCACAATTCGGATGGTTGAAGCCAATTGAACACATTAATAACAAGGCCGAATTCCTGGAGAAAACCGGGGATAATCAGTACAGTGTCTCTTCCATCTCCAGATCTTATGTTCTGGTGGTGAGTTTACCGAAGTGGAGCGAAAGCCGTGGAATTCAACCAAAGGATGTTCATGCTACGAGCGGAAGCCGTGCGATTGGATTGGAGGGTGATGATGTTAAGGGCGAAAGCCTTGGAATTGAATCAAAGGGTGTTGATGCTACGGAGCATAAAGGCTGAGACCAAGGGCAGTGGAACTGGTTGGGAATATTGATGTCAGAAGTTTTACAGGTCCATGATTGCGATCGTATGGGCCATGTTATGGAGTAACAACTTTCTTTCAAATTGGAGTTCAAATTTTGACGTATGTCCGAAAATACTGTACTAAAAGGCTTGAACGAAAATTTAAATGTTTAGCTGTGAAAGTGCTGCTCATATAAACCCCCAGGGGAAGCCTTCCATCTCCTCCCCTAGCCAGTTTATAAACATGCGCAGAATATATAGACACTATCAGGCCCAGAGTTTAGTGGCCATCCCTTCGTGTGTGGGTGGGTTTTCAGGTCCTACCGGACAACGCCCTAGCTCTCGCAGGATTAAGGCTAGTCACGGATGGATAGCGGACGTACGATAAATACATGTATTCACCATGTTAACTACACATACGGATTACTTCCCCAATAGACATTCCACCACACAAAGCCACGGGTGCTCAAAACAGACGAAGGGACACAAAGGGCACGTTCGATCGAGTGATGATACATGACGCAACGAACCCGAAGCAGAGCTTAACAGAATACCAATTTTTTCACCAAAGATACTTGGCAGATCAATAAATTGCGTTTAGTGAAGGAAGCCATATGTATGAACTGCACATATATATAGGCCGGTACTTGTAAAGTGTTTGTGATTAATTTCGATCGAACACACTTGATATTACTTAGTTAATCACATTTATCTTAGTGTTGACATTATCCAGTTAAGTTAGGTAAATTTTATATATTCATATGCCTTTAAATTGATGGACCAGACTATTGATGATATCATCTACATGTAATTAAATGTACATGTGGTTGGGTTAGATGCTAGAATGCTTGTGTGTTGTGTTTTATTTCGCGTCAAGTTGCCAAGCTATATATCATTTAAATCAAATCCCACCAAAAACAGCACTGGATCTGTGGGGAGTCGGATGGCCTAGTGGGAGTCCGTCTAATGCTGCCCGTGTACCACTCCTTCGATATTATGAATGTCATTCAACATGAAGGTCATCGTTCGAACCCCCCGGTATCGACAAAGAAATATATCGACAAAGCAGTGCCTGTATCGGAGGGCACGTAAGTCTTTTGTTATGGAGAATAACTGACTTCTACTCAGAAACTTTCCTGGTGATTTTGTACCACTCTTAATTGTGTCTATTGGGGGAGGGTGGCATTTTATGTCACTGTAATATTATCACTAGCAATTTTGAAGAATGACCGCAGGTACAGATTAAGTGCTTTATCCAAATGACATCAGGTTTATAATAGACTGCCTATAACATCTAGTATCTACATCTCCTTTGTATACCTGAGGTCTGTCATCACCAACCGCATCAGACCCATATCCTAGTCACCCTCTCCATATTAAATTGTATATCAAGGAGAGTAAAAGGATAGCGGATGAGATGCTTGTACTATAATGTGTACAGCGGTGAAATATAGAGGGTTGAGTGACCATAAGAGACAAAACAACCTAATGAGACAATTGAAATAAATCAAAAATGAAGACCAACAAAACATGATGTCCTCCTACTAGTCCCGAGGAAAAGAAAAAAAAAGAAAAATCCCTAATACTCAAATCTGAGTAGGAGAAAACAGAGACAAAGGAATAAGAAAGGATAATATAGGGAGATAGAGAAAGAGAAGGAGGTGAATGAAAAACATAAATAACAAATCCCGCGCACCCAAACAAGAGAAAAGACATTAGCAACAGAAAGTAAACCCGGAAAAAAAATCGTAGGAAATATGCATCGGTAAAAAAGAAAAAGGTCAAGCCAGCCACGAAGCATATATCATTAAGAAGAGAATACCGAACATCATTGTACAAAGAATATGATCGAGTACAGGCCATATACGGGAATATAAAAAAGAAACCCCGGCGATTTCGCGCCAAGACTTAGGTGATTGCCTTATCGCTTCTGTAACTAGGCCGCTTGCTGTGGTGTAGCTTGACTTTGTGCCTGTGAGGACTGGACTTGTTCCTGTGATCGCATTCTTGCCTCCGTATCAGCTTTGGCCTTGGCAAGTCTCGCGAGCGCTGCCTGGATGTCTGCTAACGGCACCACCTTTGTGGGGGTGGGTTTGGGTTGGGGAGGAGCTTCAGACCCTTGTTGGGGGGGAGGATTTGGAGCTCCGGACGATGGTGTAGAAAGCGGATTATTTCCATTTAACTGTGGGGGAGTAACGGGCGCCGGCATGGGAACGGTGTTGGCTTTGGCCGTGTTGGATGATGACTGATCGTCCTGTGGTTCAAATTTCAGCGGAGTCACGAGTTGAGGGTTTGGTGAAACATCGGCATTTTGAATGATAGGCGATGTGGCAATTATAGTATCCTCCATTGCGGCGATACTTGAAGCATTATCTTCGTGTGCATTCGAGGCATCCATTTCGGCTAAGCCTGATGATACCTGAGAAGGAATATCATTACTGAATATTCCATGTGGCGACATCGACAGCGCGGCAGCAGCCATGTGTGCAGCCCTGCGTTGATCAACAGACTGAGCCATAAACTGCCCAGTAGCGGGCATATTTGTACCCATATCCTGCGCATGCTGCATAGGAAAATCTGCAGGTCTGTAGACAGGAGGCCACAGTTGATGCTGTGGCAGCTGCCCAACCATTGGTGCAACGGGCGCACCATGGTAACCCTGGCTGGGCGGATGGTTGTACATAAACCTCCGCTGTTGAGCTTGATGTTGCTGGAGCTGTTGCTGGTAACGCTGCTCTGCCTGCTGCTGCGGCGAAAGTCCCTGAGCATAGCCCATGTACCCACTAGCAGTGGCGTTCTGCATGTGCGAGTTAAATGCGGCTGCTTTGGGTAGCGTCTGTCTTCTAGGCTTCGGTTTTCTCGAGGGAATAAGATTAGCAGCCTCGTTCGGAATACGCCTTCGCGGATCCTCCGAATATTTTGAAATGTATTCGGTTGATAACTCGCCGAGATAGTGCCAGAACGGCTTTGTGAAATCGATAGGGGCTTGGTCTTCGTTGAATGCTGGTCTCTCGATGACAAATTCAGCCCATTTTAACCCACTTGTGGGTTCGCCGAAACAATCATCAATGTCGGGAATCTCCTTAGGAACTCTCCGAGTTGCGATTCCAGCTTGCTGGGGGGTAGGATTCAACGGCATCTCAGTAAGCGGTTCTGGTATGTTTATAGTTGAAGGATCTTGTGCAAGTATCCATTTCCACTCAATTTCGCAGATATCACTAAATTTTAATTCATCAGCCTCATCGTAACTTTGATAGCTTAATGGAAAAACAAACCCTTTCGGCAGGACCTGGATGAGAACCATTTCCTCACTACGTCTGTTCTCGATGACAACACCGGCAAATATTTCACCCTTCAGGAACTGCATCTGAATGACATCACCCTTGATTAAATGGCTCCCAAAAGACCTTATTAGCGGATCATTCTCTAGGTGTTCGATGTCTATATCCTTGGCTCGTTTGGGTCTGTGGAATCTACATCGGAAGTCGATTTCGGTACGGGTATAATACTGGCCGTCCTCGCCGAAAACAGGCACATCAACCATATTGACCAGAACACCAGCAGCAGCCGCACACGTAGCATGGTAGGCCCGGGTGCATTTTTTCGACGAGCACTGAAAGCAGGCGCCTTTTTTCGATCGGCAAAAGACGCATTTGAGATCAATGCGGGCCTTAGGGATTCCGTTGACATTCGCGACAACTTCCTTCTGAATGGAAGGGTCCCAGCTGAAAAATGTCTCGGGTGTGTAGATAGCGCACAGCCTAAGCAATACGCAAGGTTGTCAGCCACACGTCTTACGAAGCAAGCCAAGTGCGACGACCACGACAATAGTTGCAAGCCGTGCAATGTAGAGGATAAATAAATAGTAATAAAACCAAAACAGGCAAAATATGTTAGTAGCGTACCTGTGTGCGTTTTGACCATCATCTGTTGCTACCAATTCTTCGCTAGGAATATTATTCGGGCAAAGGATACACTACACAAAAGAAAAAAAAAGTCAACGCCAAATTACAACATCGAAATGGGTACATCGTCGAAAACCCACCGGCTCTGGCTCTTGAGGAGCCTTCGAAAATTTAAGTTTAAGCCTTTTGATCTTGATCGGCGCTTCCGACCCATCTTCCGGCGCTTTTCGTTTTCTAGGCTTACTTTTCAGTTTCGCCGTCTTGCCTTCTACACTTTCAGGGGGGGTCGGAAGATCCATCGCCTCATCTTGATCCTCGTCATCCTCGTCATCATATCCTCCATAGTACTCAACTTCTTCGTACTCGTCCTCCGTGGATTCCCCTCTCAATTTCCGTTCAATTTCGGCCACATCGATCCATACCGAATCCTTGATACACTCGCATTTCTTTGCGGTGCGCCCATATTCCAGCCAAGATTCTGTCGCGAAATTAACACTTTCAGCGCAGTTATAGCCCATATTGTAGCCGGAGTGGTAGCCGTATGGGAATGTTATAATAAACTCTCTCTGATGATGAACGACTTTGTTGACTTTGATACCAGCATTGGCAAGGAGTGATGGGGAGACGAGATAACTCTTGTGCCTCAAAAATTCTGTACATTTCTTCGAATCATTCGGCCAAGTCCCTGCTGGGTGTTAGTACGGGCTGATATTCCTTAAGGTGGGGGGAAAGCTTACTCTTCATAACCTCTTCGAACTTGGCTTTATCGGACCTTGATATCGAGTACCACTGCTTTGGTGCGCCGAAGTGGATATAATTGATGCTATAAAGGTCCATATCCTCCAAATGCCACGCGAAGGTACTTCTCCACATCCCCAGATAAAGATATGCTGTGTTGACACCGGGAAGCTTCTTTCCTAGACAGTCAAGCAAGTTTTCAAGGTGGGCCACATTCCAAGATTTGGTCCTGTCATCAAACAAGCTGCCAGGCATATCGGCACCATACAGTGGGTTGCTGTAGGTCAATGTACGCCAGTAAGCCTTTTCAAGCTCTTCGCAACGTTCAGGCGTGTATTCGTCCGCGTTGGTAATCCGGTAATCGAACCCCTCAAAAGCTTCGTCGTCAAGCATTGCTTGCTCAGCTTCCCTGGCCTTGGCAGTCTTCCTGACATACTTCTTCCGTTGCCTTGGTTGACGGCCATGGCTGTCCGTCAAGGGCTCTGGTGTTCCATCGCCTCCATCAACATCAACGCCACTGATAGCGCTAACTCTAGGTTGACGTCCGTGAGAATCCGTAAGTACTTTTGGGCTTCCAGGTTCTTCCTCTTTCAGTTTTTCTGGCGGGGTGGGAAGATTTCGCTTTCTCGCGTTTGTAGGCCTAACTTCATCGTCGGCATCTTCGTCCTTTTCTTCTTTATCAGGGAGATCGGGAGCCACGGTGGATTTCCTTGAGGATCTGGTTCTGCGTCCAACAGCGACTTCTTTCGCGACCTGTCCTTTCCTTCTCTCACCGCGCCTTGCTGGGGGCTGGTGTTCGGCACCCTCACAGAGCTGACGCCATTGCGGCAAGTTGTAGGTTCGTTGTTTCTCGACGTTCTCTTGGCGATATTCGCCTTGCATACCGGCAATATGTTGTACAATAGGGTTTTTGATGCGAATGTCTTTGACTTTTTCCTCAAGTGGAGCAAGCGTCTCGTACCTGTTGCACAAGTAATTAGCAACATTGAGCACTTGGACCGCGCCCGAGAAGCGCAAGCCAAAGAGTGTCGCGATTTTTATCTCAAAGAAACTAAAATCGAGACGAGACCCAGGAGGGAAAAAAAAGTGACAAGGAGAATTTAGTTGCGTGGGAGGTTCAAGGTGATTGTTTACCATTCTTGTGGTGGAATAATCTTAACGATTCCAGACTTCATGCCGTAATGGTTGATCTTATCTACAAAGTCCTTGAATGAACGGAATTGATCCATTGTCTACCTTCCCCGTCAGCATTAAAGACCTACATAGTATAGCTATTATCGCTTCATCTACACCCCGCAATGTTGACCTCCTTAGGCACCACCGAGCCCCACCGCGACGAGAGCCAAAAGAAAGCTAAAAGCCATGCAACAAAAGGATCGCGCAATAGACTCACCGGTTTAAACACCGGTATCCCGCCATCTTCGTAATAATGGTCCGGCTGGATCTCTTCTGCCTCCTCTGGAGCGATCTCATAGTCGTCACCGGGCTGCTTCTCGATCACCACCTGGAAATTGTGCCCCTCGCTTGCCATCGCCTGAGTAGCAGACGCCATCGGGATGACAGCGCCTCTTATTTAATATTACTGATAGAGAAAGTCGCGTGGGAGGGGATTGGTTGGAGGGAGAGCGAGGAGGGGGAGGATTGTTGTGGTGGTTGTGGTGGGGGATGTGAATGGATAGAGGTAAAATATGTTGCGTCGTTCCAGAGATCCTGCTAGGTGGGCGAGAGAGGTAGAGAGAAGCAGCAGCACAGTAGCGGTGAAGACGTGGTTGATGGGGTTACAGCAACAGTATGTATGAAGTATGTACCAACAGTATGGGGGAGTAGTAAGTAAGAGTTGTATGGTGGCGGCAGGTTGTGAAAAGTACAGAAAGAAAGAAAGACAGGAATAAAATGATGCAGTTGCACAAGAAAAAGAGTTTCCGAGCAAGAGTTAACGACCGACGGATGAGGAACCGACCGCGAAGGGGGGGAGGGGGGTTGTGGACCTGGACCTGGAACTGGGTCTTGGGATTTGAGGGGAGGGGAGGAGACGAGAGGAAACAGAAATAGCGGAATAGCTTTTATCCTCTTTCGCCTGGCAAAATAGGTCTGTTGTGTGCAAAGAAACGAGTTACCTACTCTAGAGTAGACTCGTAGAGTTCGTAACTGACTACTAGGTAAAAATAGAGAGAGAGGTATGGGTGTAACGAATGTAGTAGATGTGGTTAGGAGAATGGGAATAGGATCTCAGAGAGGGAACAATATCGATAAGAAAACACTAAGCCCAGGAGGACAGGAGGGTCGCTGTCGATTAATGATGAGAGAATTCCTTTTTCACCCTTTCACCCCCTTCCTCCTGTTCTTTTGCTTCTTGTTTTCCTATTGGTCTACTCTAACTTAGAAACTCCTCTTACCTTTTTGTTTTTTCCTTACGTCTCCCCAAACCTCACAGAAAGAACCCTCTCTCTCACATACACTCTTACGCTCTCACCCTCTTGTTCGCTGTGCTGCTGCGTTGCTTGCTTGCTTTTTTGCGACGGATCAGCAGAGAAATCGGAAGGTGCAGCTTAAGAAGAAGAAGAAGCGGGTAATCCTTGCAGCCCTTTCTCTCCTCTCTCACCTCTCTTCTTTCTACCAGCCGGAAAACTACCCTTTGCCAAGGACCATTTCTGGGTTTACTAGCGTCTGTCCAAATCCGGATGCCCGCAACAATTGTGCATAGATCGGCTTACTCCTTCCACCCCCACCACTACCACCAACCCACACAGATGGGATTTCTGTTTGAACCTGTTCCTGAGTGAGATGAAGAAAGGGAAGGGGATGGGGAAGGGGAGGGAAGAAAAATGCTTGTTTGCTTCCCGTCCCTGTCCGTCCGTCCGCCCGCCCGCCGTCATTTGGCTGCTAGGCACATATATCAACCATACCCATACCCAGACCTACATGTACCCAGACATAAATACATGTAACTAATAACCAGGGCTGTCACAACCACACCCGTCAGGATTTGCAAGCTAGCTGTGTGCCTGCAGCATGTAGACCGTTATCTGTCTACAATTTGCACTTCTCCTCCTTGAGGCATTTCCTCCTTATCCATTTTTTTCTTCTGGAAGATGGGTATAGCAGATATGCGTCATTCATCCATCCATCAATCAATTTATCTTACTTATCTCCGATCTACATGAGTACGTGCTGTGAAACCATTGATAACCAGAGTGCACCCCCCCAGCCTGCGTACCTGGTTATTAGATCTCCCGCCAAATCTTAGCGAGAGCTTATCGAAGGAATCTTAGATCCGAGATCTGGCTGATGCAGTTAAAAGCCAACGGCGTGTCGTTGTAAGGTTCCACCTGGCAGGAGGCACGTGTGCAGGATCCTGCTCTCTTTTGAGATTAATCCCCTAGCAAAAATGGAGTAATATCTGACCTGTTATTGCCTCTTTAACCTCTCCACTCAGAATCGATGGAGTTTACATACACTACAAAGGACCATCCACTCATTTAATAGGTTTATTCATTACACACATTTTGCTAATGCTGCTACATACAATCACTATAACACATACATACCTTTTCCTCAAACAATGAGATCTCTTTGGCTGCACAGAGAACGCAGAAAGTTTGCCTGGAATAAATAGGTAAATTGAAGATGAAGTAAAATAAACACCATCATGGTTAGTCATACCGTTATTTTTACCATATCCTCAGAAAAGATCAAACACGAAAAGAAAGACGATTGCTTTGCCCCTGTTCAAAGCCGCTTCAATGCGAAGAAAGAGGCAAAATGCACATAGTTAGACAGATTTGGTAGATATAGAGGAAACAAATCAATAACACCCCATACCGTTCCGCCTTCCCAAACTACACCATAAGAAATTCGACCAGACACAAGCAGAATCAGAAATCAACTCCAAGCTCTTTTTAATTTTTTCGGGTTAAGAAGACCATTCCTAAATCAACTCTTTTGGATAGGGATTTTGCAATAGATTTGCTCTCGACACGCAAAATCGATATCAAACAGATAGTAGACATCAAACCCTGCAAAGAAGAAATCAAACCAGGCAAAACGAAAAAAAGAAAGAAAAAACCTTGAAATCGTACAGTAAAGAAATTAAAAATACTCGCACTAAACTTTTAGTATCTAAGTAGAGATTGCAGCTGGTGGCTGTGGCTGCTGGTACTGCTGCTGCTGGCCGCCCTGGTGATGCTGGTGATCGCCGCGTCCCCTACCACGATACCCTCCACGGTTCTCGCCATCACCCCTCTCCCTGTTACCACGGTATCCCCCTCTTCCACGGTACTCACCGTCACCTCTTCCACGGTACTCCCCATCACCTCTTCCACGGTACTCCCCATCACCTCTGGGACGGAAATCTCCGTCACCTCTACCACGGTACTCTCCACCACCACGGCCGCGATATTCACCTCCTCTATCGCCGCGGTGACCGCCTCGGCCGCGGTATCCTCCCCTAAAGTCCCCTCTGGGGCCTCCGCGGTGACCTCCACGTCCACGCCCTCCACGACGCTCGACATTCTGGAACTCCTTGTTTTCTGGTGAAGTTTCGGTGGCAGCTTCAGGGGCCTTGACTTCTTCATCGGCCCAGGATTTTGTATCCGCAGTGGGGACATCACCGGCGGCGACGGGATCGTCGGTGACAGGGCCAGTGGTTTCGGCCGATGTCTCGTTCGGAACAACAGCCTCAGGAACCTCGGGAGTAGCTTCTACAGTTTCGACGGCCTTGGCCTCCTCGTTGGCAGCATCGTCTGCGGTAATGGACGCAGCTGGGACTGAGGTAGGTGCCTCAACTTCGCCGTTAGTGTAAGTTTGTGGGGGAGGGACACCCTCCTCGACTACTTCAGGCTGAGCAATGTTGCCTGACGGATCTTCGTTATGAGATTCCTCAGTAGGGGGCTGGGCGTCGGCATCGATCTCTTCCGACTCAACCTTAAAATCCTCTTGCTCAGGCTCAAGCTCCTCGGCCGGTTCCTCCTCTCCCATAACTCTGAGATTGGCGGCGGTGTCCTTGATTTGGGAATCTGTAGGAAATATAGTCAGTAACAATCCTTGGTAAGCAAAAATGGAAGTGTGGTGGGTTGAAGTCAAGGAATCTCAAAACCGTACAAGTGACGTCGAAATCATCGATTTTCTCATCAGATCCATTCGCAAGTTTCATGCAGACGTCAACTGCGCTCTGATCACCACCATAAACTAGGACCAAAATTCTCTCGATGGCATCATCTTCTTGATCGTTTCCACTCTTAGCTTGCCTCCTGTACCCAGCCAACCTCAAAAACCTAACAACAGTTAGGATCTTGGCGGTAGCCTCTTCAAGACCTTCCTGTCTTCCCTGCTCCCTGGCTTCGGCGACAGCTTTGGCGAATTTGGCCTCAGCCTCGGCTTTTTCCTCTTCAACACGCTTGTCCTCGGCCTCGGCAACCTTCTTAAGGGTATCGTGAATCTCGCTCAGTTCTTTGAATACAGCGGAGGTAATGGGCTTGCCAGCAATTTTACTGCGCTCATCGGTATTGATGAGTTTAGTAATGGCTTGCTCTTCTTCGGTGAGATCCTTGATCTTATCCTCAGATTTTTTGATGTTGTCCTATTATTTAGATGATGTCAGCAAAGTTGCGAATGAATAGGTCGAGGTTTTGTAGTGAGTATTGAGAGAGTATTGTCACAATGGGAGGGATAGTAAATCCTAGGTGAAAGTAGTAGAAAACATACCATCTTCTTGGTCTGTCTTCTAAGTCGCCTATGAGTTTAAATAATTAAAATTAGCCCTCCATTCATGAACTCAAGGTGTTTTCATCCTAGATTGTTGCTAAAGAACCAGAACATATCAAGAATCAATCTTACTTTGAGACCTCCTTCATGTACTCTTTCTCCGCCTTCTCTACCTTCTCTCCTCCCTGAGAGCCATTGGCACCCTCTGCAGGGACTTCTGGGGCAGGTGCTGCCGCAACATCATTGGAGCCCTCAGAAACGATAGACTTGGAAGCTGACTTCTTGGACTTGTGCTTAGAAGCCTTAGAGGCTGAGTTGGCTGTTGGTTTGCTGGTCATTTCCTTGAGAATTCTCGTTTTTGAGAAAACAATTTAGCTGGGTGTTTCTACGTTCCACAGCAGTCAAGAGATTAGCGGATGGAAGGTGTGGAGAAGTTAAGGAGAGAAGAAAAAGAAAGAAAAATGCGGGGTTGATTGTGGTAAAACGCGGGGTGAGGGGCTTAGTGAAAGTGCAGTAGGCGAGATGAAAAGAACAGATTAGAGCAGGGGAGAGGTTACTTACTTAGATTTGGGAAATATGTTATTGTGGAGAGGAACTGGAGATGGGGGGTTGGTGGTGGGGGAAAGAAGGAAGAAGAAGGGAAGGAGAGCAGGAAGTTGTGGAGGCTCACCAGGTAACCGACCACCAGCTCATTCGTCACCTGCTCGGGAAGCCCACTAAGATCGTTTGTGCGAGTCACAGACCTTGCCTACTCTAATTGGTGTATTCTCAAGGAATACCTGTTTGGCAATTGTCGTGTGCCCAGCTTAAGATGCGTCTCGACCTGTGCATCTCAATTGAACCTCATTATCACGAATTTAACATAAGCTACATCATATATTTTCATAATGATCAAGAATACATGTTTTATGTGTTTCTACCTTCAAAGCAGTTACCATTACATGTATGAATGTAGACTAATGACCATAAGGTTGGTGGGTACGCTTGCTGGGAGAGGATTGGAGGAAACCTTGATACAGGGGTGAGCAACGGCCTACTTTACTACCCACATGTACGTAAGGCAGAACGCATTATTAATTTGTAGGTATCATAAGAAGATTGTAAAACCAAACGCCCAACACCTATCTTAAAAAAAAAGAGGGTATACGAGGAAAGCACCACTATCACCATAGAGGCAGGTTTTCAACGCCTCATGTTTGACATACTCGAACGCCTATTATACGCCGTTTCCCCCGAATCCATTGCGTTATTGTTTCTTGGACTTGCTCCCCTCCCGCCACCATCTCTGCCGACAGCTGGCGACTGTCCTCCTGTTCGATCGCTTTCTTGCCTCGACCCCTGATATCCCCCACCGTGTTCGTTGAAAGGGCTACGCAAAGATGGTGACCTTGGAGACCTGAACTTGTTACTATAAGCAACAGCCCCCCGCGATTCAATACTTTCTCGCCGAGAGTATGGATCATCGCGCCGTCTGTAGGAATTTGACGAGCGTGATTCATCGTGACGATTATAGTGGGGCGGATTTTCCCCTCGGCCTCTGTAGTGGTTTGGAGGCAGATTGGGTGGTGATATTTGATCAACTCGCATCTTATATGGATCAAATTGTGGCGGAGGTTTGCGAGGATCCCGACTAATACCTGGTGATGACAATGCCGGTGAAGCAGCGCCTGGCTTTGGGGGCAGTGGAGAATCCCGCATGATTACATCTCCGTCGGCGGAAGTAAAAAAGCCTGTCTGGGGAGTGCCCCTAGTAGAGGTTGTGCTAGGAACTTTGGGAATAGAAAGTGGAGGTGGGGGTGGGGGGCGCCGAATCTCTGACCCAAACTCTTTTTTATCGGCGAGGGAATTGTAAGGCCCAAAGGTTGGCGCTTTATGGGTAGTTGGCACATCCTTCTTTGAGTTGCTCCCGTACTTACCATACTTGTCTGGGTAATTCCTCTCGAGGGCCTGAAAGAATATAGATATTGCTTCATTCTGGTACATCCTCAATTCCTGCTCCTCTCTTCTCATCTTATTTCTCATGGAAACCCCATGTCTTGCGATTTCGGCGGTAAATTCGGGATGTGAAAACTGCTTCGTCCGGTACTCATCTATTTCTGAAAGCCCCTCTGGTACTTTAAGCTGATCCACCGAAACAACGATATTTCGACGAGTTTCCGGTAGTCGCTGCAAGGCGGCACTCGCTTCAGGGGTGGATATGAGGTCAATGGACTCGGGGAGCATTATGGCATTTGGGCGACCTATAGGGAAGTTGTATTTGTAGGTTGCTTCGAAGTCAATACATTTAGTAGTCTCTTCTTTCCATTCTTTGTATTCCTTCTCGTGTCGGCTCAGTAGTCGCTGTCTTCGCACCGTTAGTTGGTCTTCGTTGGTATGAATGCGTAAGGTGGAATGGACCTCTGTTCCCTATGACGTTCCCTCATGTACTTTACGATGTCTTCGTACTTATTACCAGTAGATGGGGTAAGCCGTTTCGAACTGTTTGAATGTCAGCGACTTCAATCGACGAGTCGGAGCTTTTACAAAAGTGGGAATTTACTCTGGGAATGTGACCAGCATTTCGTCAAGAAGCGGGGCCTATGTATGATATTAGCACCCAGATTAACCGTTTAAACCACCACCAGGAAGCTTGAGAACAAACCTTCCGCTTTCTTGGGTATTGCTGGTCCTCAGGCTTGACTCCCCATATATACGGAGGGGGCCCAGAAGGAGGCATAACTGCTGTTACGCGATGCGTTTGCCGAAAGAAACTTGCAATTGTTGTAACTTGATCCTCGCACAGGTGCGATTGACGGAAGACGCGACATAAAGTTCTAGGTCAACCCTAGCCCCGCGTTGAATCATTCTGTGGCGGTGGAAGCATGATGGCGGTGGCGCCACAACGCGAACAAGACACACACGTGACATATACATCATTTTCTGGGTCAATGGCGAACGTCGAATGACCAAATGAATGGTGCACGATCATACGGTCTCATCCGCCGCATAGAAATCATTTCTGTGTTTCTTTATCCTTCGTCTATTGAGATTTATTTCCGAATCCTGGATTGTTACCAGGCTCGCCATTGGCCCAGAAAGGACTGTACACCACCGAGCTCCCTGGAGCACATTAAAGCGCCCCTCTCCCACGCTCACCTTCCGACCAATCCTCTATCAACTGACCCCCGCTTTCACATTTCAATATGCCGTCTATTAGCCCCTCAACCCTCCTTGCACTTCTCTTGCCATTGTCACAAACCGTAATGGCAAGATTCACCCCAAGGTAAGCATTATTCCACCCATTGAAGCTCTCAACACCCGCGCTGACCCTACGGACGCAACAGGGACCTCTTGAGCGCGCCACGCCGCGGTGAAGCCGTACCAAACAAGGCCGGTGTGGGTATTCCCACAAATATTTCCAGCACAAGCTTCAATTGCTGATTTAGTTTTTAAAGACGCTTGCCATCTTCCATTCGTCGACGTACTCGTTCGATTCCCACAGCAAGACCTCTACATGGAGCTTGCTCAACCTAGACACCGGCGCGACCTCCGTGCTGTTTGATGACTCTGCGGTCCAGGAGGTGGTCTGGCTTAACGACGATAGCATCCTGTACATTAATGAGACGAACCCAGACGTAAAGGGCGGGTCGCAGCTCTGGCTGTCGAATTGCCACAACACGGATACAAGAAAGCTGTTCGCATCTCTCAACGCCCCCGTATCAAACCTCAAGCCTGTTGTTCGGGGTGAGCACCTGAACTTTGTGGTCTCGGCGCTCTCAACCCCCTCGACCGGTGAGGCCTATAACGAAAAAACAGCGCCGAAGAAGTATACTTCCGGGCTGTCCTACGAGTCGTTGTTTGTCCGTCACTGGGACTCTTATGTCAAGCCCGAAAGGTCTTCCATCTTTACCGGCCCCGAATCGCACGGTGACGCTGTGAACAAACAGTTGATGAGCCTTCTTGGCTCCGGCACGAAGCTCGAGACGCCCGTAGCTCCCTTCGGCGGCGCAGAAGACTTTACCATCTCCCCCGACGGCGACACAGTGGCGTTCCTGTCAAAGTCGCCCGACTTGAACCCCGCCAACAACACCCAGACACTCGTCTACACCGTCCCCTTCTCCGGCGGAAGCAAGCCATGCCCCATAAACCCCCCCGAAAAGAAAGACACAGACGGCAACCTCATTGCCCAAGGCGCCTCTTCCTCCCCCGTCTACTCGCCCGACGGCAAGTACATCGCATACCTGCAGATGTACCAGAACGGCTACGAGAGTGACCAAAACAAGATCTTCCTCCACGAGATCTCCTCCTCCAAGACTACGCTGTTACTGAAGGACTGGGATAACTCTCCATCAAAGCTTGTGTGGGCTCCGGACAGCGCCGCATTGTATATGGTAGCGGAGAACAATGGGCGTGGGAAGCTCTTTAAGACAGGTATTGTGGGTGCGACCTCCGGGGATGTAGAGGAGCTCATCAGCGAGAATTCGGTCAACGGGGTACACATCCTCCCCACCGGGAAGCTGCTCATCTCGAAGAACTCGCTCACGTCGTCCACTGGATACTTCACTCTTGATCCGTCCTCGAAAACCGTCACATCACTTCTCTCACCTGTAAAAGTAGACAAAGAGCTGTCATCACTCGAGAAGGTTGTTGTGGAAGACTTCTCCTTCAAGGGAGCTGAGGACGTAGAGGTTCATGGCCTCGTTACGAAGCCGAGCAACTTTGACGCCAAGAAGAAGTGGAAGATGGCTTTCTTCATCCACGGCGGTCCTCAGGGAGCTTGGACAGATTCATGGAGCACCAGGTGGAACCCAGCTGTGTTTGCGGAGCACGGGTACGTAGTTGTAGCTGTGAATCCCACAGGAAGCACTGGGTACGGGCAAAAGTTTGTCGATGGCATTCAGGGACAATGGGGTATGATCCCTTAACCTTTAGCTCATTTTATAACCTCTTTTTTTTTTTACTAACTGGGTTGTGTTGTAACTAGGTGGCAGACCATATATCGATTTGGAGAAGGCCTTTGAGTATCTTGAGAAGTCGGAGAAGTACAACTACATTGACTTTGACAACTCGGTAGCCTTGGGCGCCAGCTACGGCGGGTACATGATCAACTACATCCAAGGAAAGCCGCTCGGAAGGAAATTCAAAGCACTCGTCTGCCATGACGGCGTCTTCTCAACACTGAACCAGTACTCCTCCGAAGAGCTCTACTTCCCCCAACACGACGTACCCCACCCCCCCCCACCCCCTCCCCTCCCTGTCCTTCTAAACCAATGCTAACAACTAGGATAGTTTGAAGGCAAAATCTGGGAGAACCGCGCCGGGTACACCAAATGGGACCCCGCCGTGCTGGTCAAAAACTGGGCCACGCCGCAGCTCGTGATCCACAACGAGCTGGACTACAGGCTCCCCGTGAGCGAGGGCTTGGCTGTGTTTAATATTTTGCAGGAGCTGGGCGTGCCGAGTAAGTTTTTGACGTTTCCTGATGAGAACCATTGGGTTTTGAAGCCGGAGAATAGCTTGTTTTGGCATGAGACGGTGCTGGAGTGGATTGATAGGTGGACAGAGGGGAAGAAGGAGGAGGTGTTGAGGGTGCAGGGGGAGTTGTGATTTGGGGATTGAGTGGTGACGGGGAGGGTTATGCGGGAGGGTTATATTTATGTGTGATGTTGATGTGAGACGCTGGACGCCTGTATGTTTGGTCCTTTGCTTGGGGATGTGGCATCCTGCTTGTATTTCGTAATTGTTCTTTTATGTGTTCTTCTTCCTATCTAACCATGCAATTTTATCTATGCTAGCCCAAACTCAAGGAAATTTGCAAATCTTCCAAAAAAAAGGCCCCCCTTTTCACAAACACTCTTCTGCATGTCAATGATCAATTTCACGCCAATTTTGCTCACAACAACACAATATGAGTGAGAATCAAAGCACAATCAACCAACGTGCGTCCAATAATCCGGCGCATTACTATTTCAGTCCCCCCTCTGCCCACAATGCTCTGCCGCGTAGTCGCAGAATGGCAGCTCCCGCCCGTTCCCTTTCCCTTGGGTCCAAGGAGGACGAATCAGTAACTGGTCTCAAGTCTACTTACTAATAATAACAACCACCAAAAAACCTAAACCAAAGACCCAGGAAAGAAAGAAGAGAAAGAAAGAAAGAACCCATATAAGTCCGATCCAATCTATCACCACCCATCCATTATACCAAACCCATACCAAACCATACCATATAGATCTAGAGCCATCTATTACAGATTACCACGAAACAAAATTACCACCGATATAAAAAAAAACAAAAGAAAACAGAGGGCGCTCCGCTGGGCATGACTCAAAAGACAAAAACAACAAAAAAAAAAAAAAAAAAAACGAGAACTACGCCTGCACCAATGCCACAAAACCCAAAAGGAACAGCAACGCACAGATTCCCGGGGCCTGCACACTGAAGCCCGCATCCTCGTCGCCGCCATTCCCGCTATCGCCGCCATTCCCGCTATCGCCGCCCTTCCCGCCGCTACTGCCACCACTGCCACCACTGCCGCCACTGCCGCCGTTCGCAACGGGCAGGTATTTGGCCAGCATTGCGTCGCCGGTGTTGTAGAGTGAGTCTTCGAAGGCGGTGAAATCTTTGGCGTCCCTGTATTTTTTTTTGGTTTTTTTGTTAGAAGAAGTGGTTGAAGTAGAGTTATACGGGGTTTCATTTATAGAGTTGTATTACCACGACGCATTCCGCCCAGGCACAGCCTCATCCGTGCGGAACGCCAGATACAGCACGTCCGTCTCGGCATGGCCGTAGTTGCCGTTCATGCGGTTCCCGTAGCACGCCGTCGCCAGCGACACGCTCGCCTCGCCGACCAGGTCGTCCGCATTCGAGTCTCCCCACACGCCGTAGAACTGCCCACCCCGCGCACACCCAAATTAGCCCCCCCCGCTGCCAGGCCCCCACACAAGCTTTTCTCTACATACCAACTCCCCATTGCACACCACCGCCACCACGCTCAGGCTGCGCACGCCCTCATGGCGCGGATCGAACCCGCCCGTGCCCAGCACGACATAGCTGTGCAGGTTCGCGTCGAGGTCGGCAATCCCGAACCCCGACACCTGGTCCTGGAAGGCCGTGACGCCCTGCCCCGTGGGGTCGTCCTGGCACGCGCCGTTCGAGTTGTTGGCGCCGTCGCAGTCCACGTCCATGTCGGCCAGACTCGACGGCCCCGCGATCCACATCAGGTTGCTGGAGTCGTCCGTGCAGTAGCGGAAGTTGTCGCGCGAGTCGGCGTTTTTGTGCAGGCCTTTGTGTAGCGTGGTGGGGCAGTGGCCGTCCTACGGGGGGTTAGTTGGGTGTGAGAGGGGAGGGATTTGGGGGGGGGGGGGGGTGCGTACTTTGACGGTGTCGTAGAAGGATTGTAGGGCGTCGGGGATCTGGCGGGAGAGGGCGGTGGGGAGGGCCGCTAGGGCGAGGAGGAGGGCGGCGGCGTGCATGCTGGGCGGGCGGGCGGGCGGGTTAATTAATTGAAGATGGTGAGGCTGAAGATGGGTTGTGAGGTACAACTTTGACGGGTACTGACAGCAGCTCTTGGATTCTCGATATAAATTAGATACACACCGCAGCGGGAGAGACAGAAAAGAAAGGAGCCAAGAGAGCGTAGAGTCGAGCAGGCACAATAAGTAGAGTAGGGAAAAAGCACATATGTCGTTATATGTATGCACCGTTCCAGTCATCCCCCATGGAGTATTATTGTTCGAGACTCAGCCCCCCCCCCCCTTCCTCCCCGCTGGTGAGACGGTACAGCGCCAAGTCAATAGTAGTAAACCCTACCAGGATGTGTGTGCAGAGCCTATTATATTACATCGTGGGGGCCCTTTTTTATTTTTTATTTCTTTTTACTCGGGCTGCAGGTGCTTGCTTACAGCCAGCCTGAGCTGCGAGTGATAGCTTGTGAGCCCGCGCTAGTTTTAAGCTTCAATCTTAATTACGGGGATCGACTCCTAGGGGGGTACCCGGGTAGGTAGTCTGCTCTACATATTGAATTTTCGCCAAAGTGCTGTTCGACCTCCAGGCGCGGCGCAATGTTACGGATATACATAATAATATCCCCCCCTATAGCTACTGAATGACTCGAAGGGTAATGAGCTTCAGGCACATACCGCACTTTAATCACTTTCAAATGCAGCCCACATCATGCACGCCATTGCTATAAATAGATCTCCGTCATGCAGGGCTTCCCGTCGCTATATAACAGTTTCTCTTATTACCTACCACAACCAGCGAGGGGAGTAAGTGACAACGCGTACTTGCCTACAACAACTGATGTCGGTCGGGAATAGACGGGAGGTTCAGCCCTGGCTTGCGCGGAGGGGATGGGGAGGTATGTGGTTGTTGGAACTGTGGGATGGGATGGTAGGGCGATTTCTCAAAACTTACTTATGGGCGGGCTTATATAGCTCGGTATTGTTCGAGGTAGGTAGGTGGTAACGGGCTTGAGGAAAAAACTGTTTGGGTCAGGCTGCCATGTTTCCTGACACCACGTTAATTCGGGGAAGCGTCATGGGGGCTCGGAGACATTAGGGTCTTTGCTGTGTAGTTGGGGTAAGCTCATTTGGTGTGGGGAGCTAGGGGGCCAAACCTGTCAGACGAATTGGCTCAAGCTATTGGGAGGGGGGTTGTGTTGTACCACCGGCCTGTCATATCAATAAGATTCCAGAATTCTCAGCCTTACATACCTTCTTCATCTTGCCTCCATGTAGGCCTACGTACACCGATGGAAGGATATGGTGTGTTTTCAATCATTGGCATTTCGATGCCTAGCCTAGGAGATTAAGGATCATGCACCACGCTAGGTATTTGCCCGCTACCCCAAGCGGGCACGGGCGAATAGTATGGTCCATAGGCTAGAGCCAATGGTTAGAAACGCAGCTATTGAGCAGTCAGCTGTATTATAAACGCTATAGATAAAAACGGTAACCGAACCATGGCGTCTCCCATCCCCACGTGCACTGCTACTCCACGGAACGATTAATGGCTTTAACTTGAACCTTGGCTGTACATGTAGCTCTTACCACTCTAGATAGCCGGAGTTAGACTTAGGCTGCTGCAGCTGTATTGATTGATAGCCGATCTTTGAAAGGATCAAAGTGGAGTTGAGGAATTAATTGCGCTTGAGCTGGCAGAGGTGTTAATCGGAGTAGGAATTTTGGAGGTAGGTGTAGCTATAGGAACACTTAATAATTGAGGTAAAAGGATGCATATGGACGGTTCTATTACGGAGGCCGCTCTAGATTAGGAGACAACTAATAAATGACTTACGGCTAAATGACCCTCCTACCTAAATGACCTTTACTGAATGACCTTTACTAAATGACCTGACTTGTAAATGACCTTTTTGCTTACGCATGTCAGTCCTTGGCACTAAGCCTTATTTTCGTGCTTCCAGTATTACCACGAGCGCCCCTCTTCTCTTTCATGATCATCGTCATAATTATAACCAATATCACCAGTCACATATATACATACCTATCACCAGCACCACCACCATCGCCACCATCATCACCACTACTAAGGTAGGTCAGATCCATTGTGTTAAGGCATAGTCTTCACTAATAGCGGCAGCGGTGGAGCAGCAGCAGCAGCAGCGGGAGTAGCAGTATGTATCAGCACATGTACACAGTTATGATAGAGGTAATGGTGGACAGAGATGTACCGTAGCTGCAGTAGATAACATAATTCATAAGTAAACAAAAGGACTTAGTCATTTACTAATAATTTACTACTAAAGGATTTAGTCATTTACTGCTAAATGACTGCGCTAAATGACCGAATCAAATATTCTTTTCTACTAGAGCCGACGGAAGCCTACATGTATACGTATCTACATGTACCTACATGTTTAGTTAGGCTAAACTGTGGACACCGTTACTAAGACCACCTTACAGTAGGGGTTTTATATATATAATCCCCATATCTCTCTTGCTATTCCACGTAACGGTTTGCTGCCTGGGAATCAGCTTATGAACTACGGTTATTAACCTCCTTGGAGCTGGCATATATCGAGCCGCTCTGTGCATGTACCTGGGTGCACTATTGATAGTCAGTCTTTGAAATATCTAAGTTGGCGGTATGAGATAATACCTCGATTTCACATGGGAACGAAGCTCAGTTACGGGACGGGGGCGCCGGTGTTCTCTCGTATGGATGAAGAACAGACGTGAGGAACAGAGAGTCGAAAGTCCAGAAAGTACCAACGATAAAGCTGCCAAATCCCTAGAGAAGCAAACCCCCACAAGCTGCCAAGTCAATAGCAAAAGCTTAAGGGATAAACAGAGTGTTGGGGAATAAAAGAGGTTGCTACATTATGTATGCATATGGTGGTCTGTAGTCTAGCTTCAAGTAAGCAAGTGCGTGGTCAACTATCGCTCCGTACATACGGTATAATAGAACTGTGGACTTGTGACGAGGAATAGATGGCGTGATAAGCTGTTCTCAATAATGTCGTAGAAAGCTAGAAATCCTAGTAGTGCTATTAATAGTACATTATCGTCTCTCTTCGCTCATCCAACAGTTTGGTCTTGTTATAGCCATTGGAATACACACTGCAATCACGAAGAAACAAATTTAAAGAGTACTTACAGGATTGTATTTTTTGCGACGGCGGAAAACCAATTTTTATACGCTCTAGTACGAGAATCTCGTCCCAGGATTAAACCCATGACCTGCTTATAATGGCCATGGAATTCAAGCGCTCGGTGTCATGTAGTGTCCCCCCCTGACGAGTCGTTTACCACAGACCAGCCCGCCTACACATTTTTCAGTGCTCTGAAAATGGCACTTGGGTGGGTGATGGAGGGCGAGTTAGGGATATGAAATTGCTTAATTGGGGAACATCAAGGTATTCTGAAGCTTCTCATATAGGCTTCATTGCTATATAACTGATATGCAGGAGCTGAGGGTATTGGGCAACAGCTCGTATGGATTCGTAATATGCGTGCTTATAATTACAAGTACAGTACAGTTTTTGGACATAAAGTTACCGTCTTCGCGCAAAAACACACCGAAATTGGCCAAAATTGGTAACTTCCATAACCTTAATTATAACTTCTTTACTAAAGACCTTGAAACTTCTAGGATAGGTAGATATACGATATGCATAAGAATATATATTCCAGCATGGATAGGTACATGCCTTGAATTTAGACTATCACAATGCGTGTATGGAACTAATCCTCTGATCATGAATTTGGGGGCCGTTATCGATTGAATGAGTCTATGCTGATACCATTATACTGTTGATTCGAGTATAAGCTAGCTAGATATTGTTCGTAATCCTTTGAAGTTACGGATTGGTATCTTTAGTTTACATATGGACTGGTTAGGGATTATCTACATCTATCAATTGTAACCCATCTCCGGATTTCTATCACTGCTGCTTCCGAGACAAACCCCCACAGTCTAGCTGGGTATATACGAGCCTACGTCTATCTAATCCAAAGCCATTAGTCCTCTACAATACTCCCAACCCTCTCCCCAGCCCTCATGTTTTAACAACACCAATAGGACATACATGTATCGCTGTTAGTACCTATGGGAATACCTGCATCATGTTATATATATGCATGCACTCGTCAATCCTAGGATCCTAGCTATGAGTCGACCGTACCATGAGTCAAGCTTCGTACATGGTACCTGATAGAAACCCCGAGAGATTCCGGGCCAGCTCAATTTCTGTAATCCACGGCATATACAGCGCCTACACCGCACCCGTCAATTCAATCCAGCACTTCACCTCGATATCTCACATCCTGCCCGCGCCATTGCGCCGAGTGACAGACTGTGACCCGCATCCCAGCCAGCAGGTGTCTCGATCTCGAAGCAACACCGAAACACCAGCACAAACCTCACAACCCTTCACACCCCCCCCCCGAACCTCAGCAGCCCGCAATGTCTGTCTCCACCGACCCCGGCCACTTCTTCCAGACCGAGTAAAATCTCTCCGCACCTCTCCCTGCACCCCACAGCTTCAATTGCTAACCCCGCGCCTTCCTCCCTCACAGTGCGAGCGAAGCCAAATCCGCCCGCCGTGCCGCCAAACGCGGGAACCAAAACGGCTCCCCAATCGACATAGGCTCCAAGCTCCTCGCCGTCCTACCAGACCCCACGAACCCGGACCGCATCTACATCGCCGAGAGTGGTGGCCTCGCCCGCCGCGTCTCCCTCGAGGTCCCCTTCCCTCCTCCCTCTCTTCCCCCCCCCTTCTCCTCCGCTAACTATGAGAGTAGTCTGGAGACAAAAACCACACCTTCCGCGGCCACACCGCGCCCGTCACCTCTCTCGCGCTCGACACCGCCGCAGCAACGCTCTTCGCCGGATCATGGGACAAGAGCATCATCTCGTGGTCGACCTCCACACGCAAGCCACTCAAGACCTTCAACGGCCACACGGACTTCGTCAAGTCGCTGCTGTACCTGGCCAACAGCACCAACGGGCTACTACTCTCGGGGGCCAGCGATGCGTCGATCATTATCTGGGACGCCGTGAGCGGCGATCGGCTATTCTCCTTATCTGGCCACACCCGTGGCATCGGCGTCCTTGTGGCGGACCCCGTCATGAGCACACGGGAGACGGCGCGGGTGCATTCGGCGGGGAGTGAGCCCGGGATGCGGTGCTGGGAGGTGCCGGTTGAGGCGGCGGATGTGCGCAAGGCTAGGGGCGTGGGCGGCGTCATGGTGGTGCATGAGACGAGTGTCAATGCGGTGCGGTTCGAGGGGGAGGATGCGGAGATGTGGACGGCGAGCGCGGACATGACGGCGAAGCGGGTGGATGTCCGCGGGGAGGATGGCAAGGGGAGGACGGATGAGGAGGGGAATGCGGTGGTAAGGGTGGACACTGTGCTGGAGCACCCGGATTATGTCAATGATATTGTCGTGGATCCACGCGGGCGGTGGGCGGTGACGGCGTGTAGGGACGAGGAGGTGCGCGTGTGGGATGTTGCGGTAGGTTTTCTGATCTGATCATTTCTGCGTGTGGAGTGGAGATACTGACTGTGATAGACGGGCGAGCTGTTCCACATCTACGACGGCCACTCGGAGGACGTGATGGCGCTGGCGATTGTGGGCAGCAGGCAAGACATGGTCGCGAGTGTGTCCATTGACGGCACAATCAGGAGATGGTCACTACGCCATGATGACCTGCTGAAGGCCATTGAGGAAAAGAAGGAGCGGGAGCAGGGCAAGGAGAAGGAGAAGGTTGAGGAGAAGGGGGAGAGTCTCTTGACGATTGAGGAGGAGAGGGAGCTGGCTGAGCTTATGGAGGAGGACGATGAGTAAAGACTGCTAATTGATTGACTGAAGGTCGTAGACTACGAAGACAGAAATACCCAGTCCCGTCCATCCATTCATGTAGCTAGCTAATACTAAAGACAAGCATACAATAATATTCATTGACTTCGTGTAATGCCACTCGCACCCAAGTGAAGATCCAATGCCTAAGGAAAAGCCAAAGAAAATAAGAGAAAAAGTCATGAGGAAGAAATGCTAGAAGATGCGCCCTTTATGAGATGAGAAAAATGCCTAAGAAAACCAACCAACCAGCCCATGCTACCTTAAGAAAATGCGGAAGCTAATTAAAAGATATGATCAGCAAAGAAAGGACAGGCCCCTTTCTCTACGCTTTTTCCTTGAAGAAAGAAACCGCCCCCAAGAGAGCGGCACACCAGCCGGCCGACACACAAAGAAAACCGTTGGTGTAATCATTCCCCGAGGTCAACAGCAACAACCTAGTTGTCGCTATCGACCTCCATCTCATCGTCGCTCCTGACGAGCGAGCGCCTCGGATAGGCGCGAAGCCTCTGCTCGACCCGTGAATCCGGCGGGCCAAAGTGCTCATCATGCGAGTACATCGCCTGATGCGGGCTGGACTCAATGCCACCGGTATGCTGCGTCTCCTCCTCCTCCTCATCCTCCTCATAGTCGAACTCCTCCTCGTCCTCCTCCTCCTCCTCCTCCTCCTCCTCCTCATCCTCCCACACCGCATCCGCCTCCGGCACCCCCGCATCCAGATCCGCCTCCTCCCCCTCCTCCTCCTCACTGAGCTCATCGTCATCATCACTCAGCAGCGAATCCACCTCGGGAATCCCCGCATCCAGATCCACCTCCTCCCCCTCCTCCCCCTCCTCATCCCTCGTCACGCCGCCCTCGCCGTCCTCGTCGTCGAAGCCGCCGCCGCCGTCGTCCTCCATCATGGCCTGCCGCTCGGCCTCTTCGCGCTCGGCCTTGTCGTCGAGCTCGCCCTGGTACGTCTTGTGGATCCCCGGCGGCTTGATCCATGTGGCGCCGAAGCGCTGGATGTGCACTTTGCGCTGGTGCAGGGATTGCTCGTCGAGGGCGAGTTGGGTGAGGGGGGAGATGGTGGGGGTGCGGCGGTGAAGGAGTTGTTGGCGGTGCGGGAGGGCGGAGGGGTGGATGTTTTGGCTGGTGGGGAGGGGGGGGGAGGGGTGTGTGGTGTAGGAGGGGGGGGCGGTGGGGGTGAAGGTGCTGGTGGGGGTGTACCAGAGGGTGTGTGCCTAGAGGGGGGAGGTTAGTGGGGGTTGGACATTGGGGGGGGGGGGGGAGGGGGAGGGAGGGGGACGTACGTCGCGGGGGAAGATGAGAGGGATTGAGGACAGCATTGTGGTGGTGGTGGTGGTGGTGGTGCTGTCTGGGCTGTGGAGATGGGAGATGAGGTGAGGTGAGGTTGAAGAGAGAGAGAGAGAGAGTGAGAGAGAGATGAGATGAGAGACAGAAGATAGAACGCAGGTGAGTGAGCTGGAGAGCTCTGTTGACTAACTGGATGTAGCGTGGTTGTCGGGACAACCCCCTGCAGGTGACACAAGCGGTGCACAGGCCATGATGCGCCCGGTGCTCATATCAAATCTTCAAGCTGTTGGAATTATTGAATAACTGGTCATTGACAGTAATTACGTAGTGAAGGTACTTATATGTATAGGCACACATATTACGGCAGTGAGATTAATCACATTTGCCTGCGTAAAAATATCCGGGATTAATACTCTACGGGCAGCGCAGATGAAATCTAGTATCAACTACCTAATTGAACGACTATTTCTATATCAGCACGGAACTACATGTAGCTAACTGCAGGTATCAAAAATAACCTATGGCGGCAATAGAGCAGCTGTCTATGCACAATTACTTGCAGACAGCCTGTGGATCGGTCGGACTTGGCGGATTTCTTTTTACTTCTCTTCTCCGAACGGGATGGTGCGCGGTACTTTCCAGTATTAGTATCAGTCTCTACCAGCGTAAAAAATGTATCACTTGATGTATTACCCATATAAGAATGATGTGTTTATGCATCAATTGATGCATAAACATGTCGAGGCCTCTGTCATGTCGTCCGGCGGTGAATTTACTAACGACTTTACTGATACTTTATTGGCTAATTTACTGATGAGATTTTACTTGAACACATTTGCTGATGTATTACCGTACACGAACGGGTTTACAACGACATTTCCCGTCTGGACGATTTTCCCTACGATTTGCCTACGATTTTACTACGATTTTGAACTTCTGGATATATTAGTATAGTTCTGAGTTCTAGTATATCAACTAATAGCTTAGGCGGCGGGGTGCGGGCTTAACAAGCTCAATAGTACAGGTTCAAATCCGGTACTGTTTAAATTTTTATTCCATCTATATATAGATACACATTTACTGATACATCTACTGATTTATAATTGAACTATTGACGAAATGAGACTGCGATGCATTATCGATGCATTACACAAATTCCAGGATTTTTGGTACATGATGCATTTCACGGATGCAATTGCTGATGCATTTCTTTTGGTAGTAGAGAGTACTATCAGTAGCCAAAAGGCTACTAACAATTCCGAAGATATGGGCATGTGGAAATCATAAAGCTGCAAGTTATGAGTCCAAGTGAAGATCTAGTAGATCTAGTAGTAGAACAGGCTAGACTGAGCGCGACACTGGGGAAAGCGTGGGTAGGACCGAGTTTATAGCCCTATTAGGCCTAGAGAATTAAGATGGTGTATTATTACAGGAGAAATGATATATCGTACAGTTTTTTTTTTTGGTAGGCTAGAAGCAGCTACTAGCGGGTTGGTACTATTGTGATATTTATAGTACTACTGGTTAAATGGTTGATATTGATATTATTGGCCGGGCTTCTTAAATCTTATCTTGCCAACCAAAGAACCACTAGATAAACAATACAATAATACTTGAGGCCTATTCAGCCCTTTGCTTGGTCAATATGTTTACTCTACCCAGCTCAAAAGATCCGACTTGAGTTATAAACAATCTCCATCCGGACGTACGTCTGTACTTGGCCGCAAACATTATATCAGCTGCCCACAACTGATCGATCTATCTCCGCGCTCTGAAATAAAGCATGTAGATAAAGCTCATAGCAGCCGGTTAACCGCGGATACCAGTCACTGTAGTTAAAGCAAAGCATTTGTTTTTTTCCAGCCAGGATTACATACATGCTTTCGGCCTCTCGCTGACGATCCCCGGCCGTCGAGGCCTTCCATCAATGCCTGCCCCTCCACTGCCACTAGCCCCGCATTTCCACCCCACCATCATCACTATCATCTCATCTCTCCCCCCATCCCACAACAGAGCTCATTTCCAGCAGAAACCTAACAATAGCAAAATTTGAATAAATAAAAAAAACTCCAAACATACAGTAAAGCACCCAGCATGGCTTCTGCAGCTTCAAGCCGAGACGTCTTACCGTCCGAGTACGTTGTTCCCCCAGTGCGAGTGAGTGAGTGAGTGAGTAACAAAGACCTAACCTCCTCCAGTGTCAAGCCCGTGCACTACGACCTCGATCTGCATAACCTGGACACCAAGGCGTTCACGTACGATGGTCTTGTCAATATCAGTCTTGAACTGAAGACAGCTACGAGCTCAATCACGCTCAATTCGAAGGAGTTGAAGATTGGCGAGGGGGTTGTTAGGGTCGAGGGGAGCACTGGTAAGTCATAGACACTGGATAAGCTGGGTGGGGCAAGATGCTAATATGTGCGGGGTCTAGAGGATATCAAGGTTACGGATATCGCATACGATACAAAGGCAGAGACAGCCAAGTTGTCGCTTGCAAAGGAGCTCCCGGGCGCCGGGAAGGCGGTGCTGGAGCTGAAGTTCTCGGGCGCTATTAATCATAAGGTTGTTATTTTATTTTTACTCTACTGTCCCCACCCTTTGCGGGGAATGGTGCTGATTTGGGTGGGGTTAGATGGCGGGGTTCTATCGTAGTGCGTACAAGAACGAGAAGGGAGAGGATGATTGGATGTTTTCTACACAGTTTGAGTCTTGCGATGCCCGTCAGGCATTCCCTTGGTTAGTAGTCGCACATATGGGGTTCCAGCTCGGACAAGACTAGACAGAGCTGATACACTTTGTGCGGGCAGCTTCGACGAGCCGAACCTTAAAGCTACCTATGATTTCGCCATGACTGTTCCCGAGAGCTTCACCGCGCTGTCCAACCAGCCCGTGAAAGAGACACAGTCGCTCGGAAACGGCCTAAAGAAGGTTTCCTTCTTGACGGTACCCAAGATGAGCACATATGTAGGTCTAGGTCTCACTCAGGTGGCTGTCCGTTTCTGTAGCTTGGGTCTGATTTGATTGTCGTGCATGTAGCTTCTTGCATGGGCGTGCGGAGAGTTCGACTATGTTGAGGACTTTACCGACCGAGAATACGAGGGGAGGGGGAAGCTGCCCGTCAGAGTCTACACCACCAAGGGTCTGGTGGAGCAGGGTCGGTTTGCGCTGATGAACGCAAAGAAGATTGTGGATTACTTTTCAGAGGTTTGTTTTTGTGTGGGGTTTGTGTGGCAGGAGGGAGGCTAATAATGGGTGTAGATCTTTGATCTGGATTACCCGCTTCCGAAAGTTGATCTTTTGGCGGTCCACGAGTTTGTATGAAACTGGTTTCCCCGGTTTGTGTGAAAAAGTGGGAGGCTGACGGAGATGATGTGGTTGCAGTCCCATGGAGCTATGGAGAATTGGGGGCTCATCACTTATAGGACGACTGCTGTGCTGTTTGATGAAAAGACCTCGGACTCAAGGTATAAGAACAGAGTAGCATATGTCGTAGCTCATGGTAAAGGTGTCTTTGATCTGCATCTCGCGGCAGCAGCGCTAATTATTTACTTGTAGAACTTGCACACCAATGGTTCGGGAATCTTGTAACCATGGACTGGTGGTCAGAGCTGTGGCTCAACGAAGGGTTTGCTACCTGGGTGGGATGGTACGCCATTGATCACTTTTATCCGGGTATGTGACAACCACAAGTGCGAGATTAGATTGCTGTTGCTAACAGTCTTTTAGAGTGGAATGTTTGGGGACAGTTTGTCGTACGTCGTCTTTCTAGAGGCACGCATTATCACTCGTTTGTTCCCCCACTGACAGCGTTGCTTAGACTGAATCCCTACAAACAGCCTTCCAACTCGACTCGCTGCGCGGTTCACACCCAATTGAGGTGCCAGTACGAAGTGCTTTGGACATTGACCAGATCTTTGACCATATCAGTTATTTGAAGGTATTATTATTATTATTATCGGTTTTAAAGCTATGAAGAAATAAGGAATTGATCGTTGTGCGTTTAGGGATCTGGTACTATTGGTATGTTGAGCAACCATCTTGGTGTTCAAACATTCTTGGGAGGAGTATCAAACTACTTGAAGAAGCATGCGTATGGCAATGCTACGACCGAGGACTTATGGTCCGCTCTTGGCGAGAAGGCCGGCACAAACGTATCCGAGTTCATGGTAAGTATCAAAATTCCCAGCCTGTTGATTCGGCGTCAAAATGCTTATTTTTGAGTAGAGCAACTGGATCAAGGCTATTGGATTTCCTGTAGTCACAGTCACGGAAGAGCCCGGCCAAATCACTCTTCGCCAATCCCGCTTCCTCAGCACTGGCGATGTAAAGCCTGAGGAGGACACGACAAATTGGTGGATCCCTCTGATGTTGACGGAGCAGTCTTACACCAAATCAGCAGTGAAAGTCAATGCTCTCACCAGCAAAGAGACGACCATCAAAAACCTCAACACAGATTTCTACAAGCTGAACTATGGTCAGTACGGGTTCTACAGAGTCAATTACCCAGCAGAACGGTTGGCGAAGCTCGGAGAAGTCAGGCAGCAGCTCAGTGTATCTGACAGAGTTGGGCTGATTGCTGATGCCGCTGCAATGGCGTTGTCGGGATACGGAACGACCACCGGGTTGCTCTCATTTCTTGCCGAGCTGAAGGACGAGGATAGCTACCTGGTCTGGGCAGAGCTCCAGGTACAGCTCGGGAAGCTGAAATCTGTATTTGCGGAAAGCGAGCCTGAGATTTACGAAGGATTGAAGAAGCTTACTTTGGAGCTTGTGACTCCCTGCGTCGAGAAGATCGGTTGGGAGTTCAAGGACGAAGAGGACTTCCTGACCGCACGGTTGAGATCGCTGCTCATCAGCACCGCCGGAGGAGTCAGTCACCAACCAACAATTGACGAGGCCCTTCGTCGTTTCAAGCTCTACACTTCCGGAGAGGACAAGGCTGCGATTCACCCTAACCTCCGCTTGGCAGTCTTCCGTATTGCTATCGCCCAGGGCGGGCAGGAGGAATTCGATGCCGTTATGAGGGAGTACCTTTCAACCACCACGGTCGACGGAAGAGAAATCTGCCTGTCCTCTCTCGGACGAGTGCACACGCCCGAGCTTATCCAAAAGGTCTTAGAGTTCACATTCACGGACAAGGTCAAGATCCAAGACAAGCACACCCCCGTCATCTCGCTCTCAAACAACCACCGGGCCAGACGTGCGGTGTGGGAGTTCATTAAGAAGAACTGGGATACGGTTTACGCCCAGCTCTCCGGAAACATGGTCGTCCTGGACCGCTTCCTCAAGAACTCACTGAACAAATTCTCGAGCAGAGAAGTCATGGCGGATATTGAGGAATTCTTCAAAGACAAGGACAACCACGGGTACGATAAGGGGCTTTTGGTCATTCGTGATAGCATCACGGGAAATGCCAACTGGGTCGAAAGGGACGCCGCAATTGTGAAGGAATGGTTGAAGGAGCATGGATATGTTGCGTAGTAGTGTAGAATGTGTAAAGTCCAAGCTCCTCATGAATATGAAGTGGTTTAATATCAAGTTGCGTCAATCAAGAATGTGGGGCATTCGAGTTTTTTGTACTTATCTTGCTTTGCTTTAAACGAGGTTAGGACCGCTTATCATCGTTCAAGACTTACTTAAGTACGTTCAGGCGGCCATATGACCATTGTATGCCCTCATGAATATCAGACCAAGCTCAAGTAATAATAGCAACAGTCAGTGCCTAACCCCTCAAAAATTAATACAATGTCATGGGAGGCCTTTCAAAATATTTATTTGCATTGAATAAAGAGCATGACGTCGAGATAAGAAGGTCTGGTGTAGCGTAGATGACCTCGTGTCCATAAATACCACACTCCTGACCAGCATAGGTAACGACAACACCAAACTACAAAAGGCAAGCGCAAGCCACTGCACACCAATCACAGCCCCCGCGCGAGGCTTCAGCAAGTGGTTTCGCTGACGCCGCCGGTTACAACAACAGCCCTCGCTCAGCCGAGCGTCCTTCTTCGCTTTTTTCTTTCTTCCTCCTAGAAACAACAAGAGACACGTTCCTGTGCATCCGCTTCCGTAGTAAGACCCAGCACGGTACATACCCCCATCCCCCAGAATCCTCCGATTTCCACTGCTACTCACCGCAACCAACCTCACCTGCTAACACTTCCCCCCCTCTTCAGCTCCTGACCACAACTCCATCTCCTGTTTCCGTCTCCACACAACTTCATCTTCACATCGTTTCCAGCTTCTCATCACCAAGCTTCCCAATAACCTTTCGTACCCAAACGCCATCATGAATCCGGAGTAGTATGTCTCCCTTGCTTTTGCCCCTCGGAGCCTCCCCCACTATCACTGCCTAGAGCCCCCCCCAACCTTCCACCCCCCACGACGTCCCCTCATTTACGATATTTTGCTAACTAGAGCTTGTTCACAGAGTTTATCTCTGCCCTAAAACGATCCTCAATCCTGTTGGCTCTATCTTTATCAGCTCCCACCCGGGGCAAGCAGGCTTCCGGGTCAAAACAACAATAACAGTTGATCTTGGCAGCTGTCTCTTATCGTGACTTACTGACGAATCATTCCATGTAGATATGATTACCTTTTTAAGCTTCTCCTCATCGGTGACTCGGGTGTAGGAAAGTCCTGCTTGCTGCTCAGATTCGCGGATGATACCTACACCGAGAGCTACATCTCCACTATCGGTGTCGATTTCGTTAGTCTTGGACCTCCCCGTGTTTCAGTCCAGTTTAGAATGCCATAGGGCTAACCTAGCCATTCTCGATAAACAGAAAATCCGCACCATCGAGCTTGATGGCAAAACCGTGAAACTCCAAATTGTAGGTTCTCTTGATGGGTTTATTTTCGACCGGTTCCTGATTGCTGATAAATGTCCTTATGGACTTGTAGTGGGATACCGCTGGCCAGGAGAGATTCAGGACCATCACATCCTCATACTATAGAGGTATGTGCTCAAACGTTTCCCTCCATTTTCAAGATTTAAACTGACATCATTCGAAGGGGCGCACGGGATCTGCGTCGTTTTTGACGTGACCGATATGGGTAGGTTTATCCGGTTCAACCCGACCTTGGTTAGGTGTCGTTAACTGACATTTATCAGACTCTTTCAACAACGTCAAGCAATGGCTACAAGAAATCGACCGTTATGCCACCGAAGGTGTCAACAAGCTTCTCGTTGGTAACAAGAGCGATATCGCAGACAAGAAAGTGGTCGAATACACCGTGGCAAAGGTTGGCCCCCCTGTCATGTATCACATGCTAAGTAGGAGTCATTTGCTGATATGTTTTATGATTAGGAATTCGCCGACAGTCTTGGTATTCCATTCTTGGAGACTTCCGCCAAGAGCGCCACGAACGTCGAGCAGGCTTTCCTAACGATGGCTAGACAGATCAAGGTACGGCAGAATATACTGATGAGGTGTTAATGAAGTGTTTAGCTAACCTTCCTACAGGAACGGATGGGATCCACCACTGCCAACAACAAGCCTACCGTCACTGTCGGCCCCGGAACCGGTGTCCAGCAGGCTTCGTCCGGCGGGTGCTGTTAATCGAAATAATTCTTTTTCCTATTCTTCCACAATGCCATCGTAATTCAACACAACTTTGTACTAGACCCGACTGAAATCCTTTGTCTTGGCCTGCCATAATTCCGCTTTCCAGTTTTCTTTTCTCTCTCGCTTCCTCTTAAATGGGTACTGGGTATTCTGTTAGTCGCGAAGGGTTTGCTGGATCGTACAGGGGATACTTGGGAATTAATGGAATGGTGGTATGGTTGCTATGAGGGTTGGGATGAAGGCTGGAAGTGTGTGTGAGTAGGAGTTAGTGGAAGACTGAGGATTGGCAATGGTAAATGAGAAACGAAGGGAAGCCAGGAGTCCTTTGTTATTTTGTTTGTACTTTTTTTTCCCCTGGTTGTTTCTGTCCTATTTCTTGTTTGGCTGTAACGTTGACTTATGTGAATTCTTTTCGTGGCTTGAAATAATCAATGTTTTTTTTCGTGAAATGACTATACACATGCTTCTTCTGTAATTACCAAGTACATGCGGGTGTTTGCAGCACTCATCAGCAATTTCTGATTTAATAACTTTGAGAATCACAAGTCAATTTAAATACTTCTATAAATATACCAATTACTATACTGGGAGAAGTATAAAATAGCGAAGTGAGCTCGAACGTTTCAACCTTGGAATATTAAAATACAAAAAGAAAAGAAAAAAAAGAACCAGAGCAAAAAGAAACCCTTGAGTATCTGTAGTTACTTAGCCCTTGAATTTACGCAGTGTGACCTTCGTTCATGATTGGCAAGCTGTCAGTTAAGGTTTCGAGTAAAACTAGCGCGAAGCTTAAGAAGGGTTTACAAATGTTACCTTTGAAACCTTGCGGACATCTCTGGCCGAAATCACGGGTTTCTTATGCTTTGTAGCCGTGCTTGTAGCGCCGTCGACAGAGGCCTCAGTCTGTGCATGGATTGCAGCTTCACGGACGAGCCTGGGCATTCACTATTAATATAGACTGCAACAACGGCTGCTATCACGTACAGGGGGAGCGGCAAACTCACTCCTGCAGGAAAAGCGCGTAGTCAAGGTATATCAGAACATCGACATTCTTGGAGACGTTACGGTCGCTGTGAGCTTTTACGATACGCTTCAGGACGCTGCGGGGGTAGGCTTTTTGCGGTGCCATGGCTTGGAGAGAGATGTCGGGACTGGAGCTACCTAGCGAGCTAGTGGGGGTTGTTGGAATGGTAATGGTAATGGGAAATGGGAAATGGTGGTGGATATGGTATTTGTTTTGTTGGAAGGATCCATGGTTGCAGGCAGGGCTGATGGGGCTCTGCTGCAGTTTCGGGTTTCGAGACACGTGAACAAGCTGGTTAGCTATCGATAGTTCTATCGATAGTTCTATTTACTATGTAGTATTCTTTTCTACGCACACCTTATCACTCGCATGCTCTAGAACAGGTCTTTGGTTTGGAGTGGGTGTAAATTGTGGATTAGGCTTATTGTAGGCATCCCATGCTAAACAAGCCATGGCCCATCAAAAATCAAACCTCTCACCCAGTTTGTCATCCAACTCCCACTGCCGGATCACATCCTTGGTAAAAGTACAGTTACAATAGTATCTCTCGAGCTCTCCCCCTCCTCTTCCTGACACGCCAGCTAATTACGCCCCGTGCGTATGTAATTAAGGCAAAGCAAAAGAAAAAAGTAAAGATAAATCAGAAAACTCGTGCACGTATGCAGTTCCTAACAAGAACAAAAATCATGGACAAAATCAAAAAGCAACCTATCATGCACAACAAACCCCCACCATTCATTGCATCATTCACTCCAAGTGTTCCCTTGAGCCAAAAGGAAAAGAAGGAAAAAGGAAAAGAAAAATATGAAGGATAAAAACAATTGATATAAGATTCTGGTTTTTGATACTATTTTCAATCGCTTTGGGCTTTCTTCATATCCCACCAGTCCAACCCCAAGCGCGCCGAAAGAAAGAAAAAAGTAAGAGATTTTTTTAAAATAATAGGACACAAGAATAAAACGCGGCCCCAAACAGACTGACGAAAAGTCGAAGATACAAACCGAAAACGAACTCTTTACCACGTCGTCAATTCTCCATTCCACTAAACCTGACGACTTTTATTCACTGATGGCTGGTTTAATTAGATCCGGCCACAGGATTGCCCTGCTGCTGCGAGGAGCCTCTATGTCCCCCTCTGTTGTATCCAGGACCATACCCTCTTCCACGGAAGCCTCTGCCTCTGCCTCTGCCCCTATTCCATCCGCCGCGGGCGTAATGCCCGAATCCACCGTCAACGCTTCCTTGACCAAAGGTTTCAAGATTCTTCTTCTGTTCCTCGCCCCTCCAAACAGCTCCACCCCTTGGTCGTTCGCCCTCCTTTGCCTCGGCACGCTCTTTGTTCTCGCACGAGATATTGTCGAAGAAGCTACTGCCACGGTTATAATACCCACCACCGCCTGGGGGAATAACAACGTCTTCATCGTCTTCCGCATTTCCGTTGGCACCGTTGGTGACAGGACTTGAAACTGGTTTCTTATCGTCGTCTGCAGAGGCAATCACCTCCTTGACTAGATCCTGCTTATTAAATTTCGCATTGGCGCCCTCGAAATCATAATCTGTGGAGGGAACCTCCACTTTACGAGGCTGCTGGTTGTTAAATCCGCCACGGTTGCCCCTGTTACCACGATTTGCAACAAAGCCCCCCATTCCGGGCTGGCGAGAGTTATTGTAAGTTCCAACTCCAGCAGTCGGGTTAGCAACGGCAGTAGGATGCGGGCTTCCGGATGTAGCTGGAGGCGCAGCTCTCATCGCCAATTGATTAACCTTGTTGGCTAGATCTTCGACAGCAGCGGAGGTATCAGTGAGCTGAGTCGGTGCAGAGGATTGGTTCAATGGAGCATTGTCGGTCTGGTTGGACTGAGTAGGGGGGGAAGCTGAGGAACGCGATGCTCTCACGCCTGGCAAAGGAAGCGCTGGAACAATTCCGCTGTGATTTTTGGGACCAGTCGGAGTTTTGTTGGATGCCTGAGCGGTAGGAATTGCTTGGGCAGAAGTAGTAGACTGGTTTGCAGCTTCATAGGCTGGGGGGTCAACCGACGGTGCTTGAGAAGATTGCTGGGAAGCTTGAGCTTGCAATTTCTGGGCAGCGGGGCCTTGAGGCTGTTGCTGTGCAGGTGCGGCGCCTGACTGCTGCTGCTGTTGAAACTGTTGCTGGCGACCAGCAGCAGGTCCATTTGGTGGCGGCCTAACAGCCTGTTGCTGCGGTGGTTGCTGCTGAGGCTGCTGCTGCTGTTGCTGAGGCTGCTGTTGCTGTTGTTGCTGCGGTGCCTGTTGCTGTGTCGGTGGTTGCTGTTGCTGCTGAGGCGCTTGTGGGGGCTGTTGAGGCTGCTGCTGCTGTGGTACAGGCGGTTGCTGTTGCTGCTGCGGAGCTCCAGGAGGAGCCTGGCCCATTCCCTGTTGCCCAGGAGGTGGGGGATACGCTCCATACATAGGTGCCTGGTACGTGCTCGGACGAAAGTGGCCTTGGTTCTGAGGCGGGGGTGGGTAGTAATATGCGGGCACAGGCGGCTGATATTGACCAGATTGCTGCCCCTGGGCTGGGTACTGAGGTGGGGGACGAACTGAGCTCTGCATTACGAAACGACTTAGTTCTTAGATCCAAAAAAGAAACGAACACTCCTCGAAGGGTCAAGCACTTGCTACGAGAAGTCCGTAGCAATAGAAACAAAACACGAAATCCGCATCAAGGTGCCCATGAACTGAAACAACCCCGCATTGAGAAGAGGGTTTGTGGAAATGACTTACTCCAAGAATAGCAGGGTCATCAAGCACCTGCGGCGGTGGTTTAGGCTTCTGTGCCGCTTCCTCGATTCTCAAATCCTTCACATCACCACCACGAAAGACGATATATTCGTAGACATTGTCGGATCCAGCGATTTCCTTAGTGGGGTCGCCACGCCTTCCTTCTGTTCCATGAGAGACGACTTGCTCTAAGGCAACTGTATGCTTTTCGGAGTTGATATCATGAAGAATACCGACGTAACTAAATGGAAATATGTCAGGCAAGAGAACCATAATTTGATTTATAGCAGGGAAATCTTACCGAATGTCGCTCCTAGAGATTAGGGAAATGCGGGAGCTATCACGGACAGGGGAGTTAGCCAAACATGATCGCATTAAGCAGAATTGAGCAAAGGATTGAATTCGAAATAAAGAGAACAAACCCTATAAATTCAGACATTCAGGAGACGAATTGGTCGACCACCCTGGTACGAGATCAAGATACAATGGAAGAGTACACCTATTCGCTTGAAAGAGTTGCCAGTTGGGAACAAATGAGATGGACGTGAAGTGACAAGAAAGGATGCGGTGCTTATTGGCAGACGTAGAGATGGTGGGGATGATGAGAAGTTGTAGAGAGGGAGGAAAGGTAGTGGGAAGTGGTTGAGGTCAGAGGGTGAGACGGGGGATCTTCCTCCAGGCCCACGAACAAGATGGGCTACAGGCTGCCTGACTTACCCGGTCATCCATCATCTCTGGAAGCATTTACAGGCACCCCACGCGCCTGGTTTGTCGATCGCTGCTAGAATTGTGGCGGTGTTTACCACTGCAATAACTAGCCCCGCCCGGTCCCACATATACACTCGGCGCCACACACCACCCCTCGCTGCATACCGCACTAGTACTATTCTTCGCCTCCGCGCACAAATACAGAGCTCTCTCGAAAGCTCTTTAAAGCTCCGGCTTCAGTTGTTTAACCTTCTCCCCAAATCGTCCACTCTCTCTTATTTCAGCTGAAAAAACATGACTACACAAGATATACAGTCTGCTGACCTCGCCAGCTTTGAGGCTATCCAGTCTTACGACTGGGCTGCTGACCGCGAATTCCAAGTAAAATAGACCCTTCCTCCCTCCCTCCAACCAATTGTAAGACCAAGCCGCAAGGTGGTCCCTACGTAATGCATTATTCTAAACTCTTTAATAGGCTGGTCTTCAGTCGATTCTGTCAACTGCATCTTCTCCCGAACAGGTGGCTACAGTGACCATACGAGCGAAATGCTTCTTTTACTCAAAGTCCGCTACCTCCGTTACTCCACTCCATTCCATTCTGCTAAATTCTGGTTTATAACTCTGGTTTCATCTGCTGTAGAAAATCCGGCCTGCCGATTGACTATGGTGCCTTTAACTCTTGGCTGGCCCAGAAAGCACCAGCTGCAGCAGCAGTTCCTTCAACGGAGGCCGAGTTGACATCAGTTTCGGCAGCAGCTGCCATAACCCACCCTCATCAACGAAAAGATTCTGCCTCAATCCTTGGTCGCCCTTCTGTCGATACAACAAACCCTCTCGTCAACAGCGAGAATTTCCCAGCTAGTGCACCTTCGCCATCTCTAGAAGAGAATGACACGGATTCCGCCACAGGCACTCCTACACCCGGTAAACCAGAAGCACCATATCCAACCTCTTTCGCCCATATTGTCGAGCTTATCACTACTGGACAGCCGATTCCTGGGATTAGAGAGATACCGAATGTGCTGAATACGGCCCCGCCTAGCGAATCGACAAAGCCTAGGAGACTTAAGCCTTGGGAGATCGCGGCCCAGAATTCGGGTGGAAGCACGGAGAAATCGGAGAGTATACAATCTAGTTGACTAGAGGCTAACACAGCGCCTTGAAACGTAAGTAGTACGTATGTATCATAGTGGGAAAGGGACTGCTAAAGAAATCAAGATACTAAAATTCTCAATTCGTAAAGATAGCAGAACCTGAGGTTGGCGAGGAAGACATAACAGTTATTTGTAAGCTATACGGTAACGAGCACTGTGGTTGAGATCTCAGCTAGTCAGGCGAGGCAATTTTGACTTTCAAATATGTGAGAATCTCAGCGAATGCATTGTCCCATGGCTTTCAGACTGCCAGCAGTGATCGATGATTAAAATCTTAGTTAGGGTCGGGCAGCAACTGAGATGCTCTTCTTTTTATAGCGATAGTTGTTACTGTCTCATTCCATACCTCAAATGTCGGTGCCAGCCCCAATTTTGCCCTTCCAACTGAGATTCTGGCCTGCTTCGTTTCAAGGGATTGTAGATTATGCGATACTCCCAAAATAACGGCCAAACTGATCGATTATCAGCTCCAGCTCTGTACGAGGGTATGTATCGTAGATA